TACGCCATACAGTGTGCTATGAGGGAAATTTTGCCCGGGCAGCGGCGCTACGACCTACTCTTATATCGAATTACAACTGCCAAGGGATCTTTTACGTGCACGCCAATATGTACACGGGACCTCGGTTTTTCGTTCCATCCGAACGACTCGACATCTGTCCTTGTCAGGCCCTCCGTCCTGCATCCCTGACAAGGGGAAACCACACCGGAAAATCTGGATGAACTTTCTCGGCCAATGCAGGGATCGAACACCCGACCCATGGATTTAACGTTGAAGTCAATGAGCGTAGGGAATTGCTAGTCCCGATTTCATTGGTTTATATATAGTCGCGGTTTGTTAGTACCATTGTTTTGAATGACGAGCAACGCAGTTGAGCAAATTACTGCATTATTGTATTCAGAGGTCGGCAGATGCTGCCTTGGTATCTATCAGGCGAAAGATTTGTAATAATAATAATCATAATAGTGATACTAATAACATTAATAACAACAAAGCCGTAAAGTAGCCATGTTTTTTTGAGCCCGGGTAAACAATTATAAACAGTGATAAACAAAAACAATGTTAAAGTTAAAAGCACAATAGAGAGAGAAATGGGGTTTAACGTCCACTCGACACAAACTAGGTCATTTCGGGACTAACATATTTTTTTTAAAAATTTTTATTTCAATAATTCGCTTGCGCATAGGGGTCTTTAGCAGTGGGAGGAAACCTGAGGACCCGGAGAAAACCCACGAGGTTAAATAGGCGACCCTACTCCTTGTCACGTACAACCGGGGATTCGAAACCACGCCAGTTGACTCAATGACAGGCCTTATGATACAGCGCACATGCTAACCATTCGGCCATCCAACAATATACAGTAGAATAAACATATATAAATACATAGTTCATATACAGAGATTAAAACTCCCACAATAAACATACGTCGTAGTTGAGCAAATTACTGCATTATTGCATTCAGAGATCGACAATGCTGCCTTGATATCAGGCGAAAGATTTATAATAATAATAATAATTATGACAGTGATAATAACAAAGTCGGAAACAAAAGTATAGATATACATAGTACATATACAGAGATTAAAGCCCTCACACGTCACAATAAGGGTCAATTGTATTGTCCCTAATATCCCGTGGGAACCTAAAATTAAATATTGCGTTTGAATTTGAGTTCATAGCTCCGTTTATTAAACAAGACCCTAGCCTAGGGTATATTCAGAGTAGCACTGAGTCAACTGGCGTGATAAGGAGTAGGGTCGCCTGTCCAACCTCGTTGGTTTTCTCCGGGTCCTCCGGTTTCCCCCCACTGCTAAAAAGACCCGTACGCGCAAGCGAATTATTGAAATAAAATTGAACCATATGTTATTCCCGAAATGACATAGTTTGTGTCGAGTGGACGTTAAACCCTGGAAACAGTAAGCAGAAATGCCCCCCCCCCCCACACACACACTGTATAATATTGACTAGTTGACAGTATCCCAACGATCATACCATTATGATCGATCTACAAAGACGCGTTGAGACTGTGAGTCGTTCATTTGTTGAGAATATGATTCCTGAAACTTTAGCCGTGGTGCGTTACCCAATCTTTCTTCCATAATTAAAACCATCCTTGCCCACTGTAAAAATAAAATTATATATATATATATATATATATATATATACAACAATCATCGTACACTTTAAAAATGATATCATATAAAAAAAATCACTGAATACTGTACAATTATATCCTCGTCCACTGCACAGATAACATAGCCTCCAGAGATTGGACTAACAAAATAACAACGTATTTCAAAACGGCAACAAAATATTAAAATCTATGTTTATTTAATATTCTGCGGTCTTTAATATTTCTTACTTTGTAAGATCCAAAACATAAAAATACAAAATATATAAAAATAAACCAATACAGAATATAAAAAATTATACGAAATAAAATAGCTATTGTGAACAATTGAAAGCGTGCGGTGTTATTAAAATACACTTTGTGTTTATAAAATTAAAGTGATCACCCCTAATAAAGGAAATCTGAATGAACAAATACAAATTTATATTCGGTTAGCGAGTGGATGAAAACGTTGGGGACCACTGCTTTAAAGGTGTCTGGCATCAGTTTATAAAACTGAGTTGTACATATGTCCCGCAGCAACGGCTATGTACTAGCAACGGATCATTCTGCACACAGACATCCATCCACTTCAACCTCCAAGAATAAGAGAAAGAGAGAGAGAGAGAGAGAGAGAGAGAGAGAGAGAGAGAGATAAATGGGGTTTAACGTCCACTCGACACAAACTAGGTCATTTCGGGACTAACATATGGTTCAATTTTATTTTCATAATTCGCTGAATACTGTACAATTATATCCTCGTCCACTGCACAGATATATCGTCTCCCATTGTACAAATATATCCTCGTCCACAGTGCCTTTTTTTTAATGCAAGATGATATCGATTTCATGTGTCATCAGAATACAAAACACTCTACGAATATTTTATGACTATTTATATTGAAAACGTTGAGAGAATACTCTTCGAAACGTCGCCCAATAAATCAGTAATTGTTCTTCCATAAGTATGTGTTATAGTTTATTGACTATTTATATTGTTGCTAGGTATTATTATCCTAAAACGATCGTGGTGAATATCATGGCATACGTAACAAATGGAGCGTGTGTGAATATTACATAGCTTGATTTGTTTTTGTTGCTATGACGACAAGTGAAGCAGCAATATAGCAGCATTGTTATATTTTATGGGAGCCACGGTGGCTAAGTGGGTAAAACGCTGGCTCGCTAGCCTGGGGACGCGTGTTCGATCCCTCCATTGGCCGAGAGAGTTCATCGGGATTTTCCGAAGTGGTTCCCCCTTGTCAGTGGTGCAAGACGGAGGGCTTGACGAGGACAGCTGTCTAGTCCTTCGGATGGAAAGAACAACTGAGATCATGTGTATACATTGGCGTGCACGTAAAAGATCCCCTGGAAGATTGAATTCGATATCACAGTTGGCATAGTGTCGCTGTCCGGGCAAAATGTCCCTGATAGAAAACTGGCGTATGTCGGTCTTCACTAGCTCAGTCGGAGCAGAACCGTAGGACTTTAAACACATTTCATTTCATTTCTTATATATTTATGTCTATTAAATCCAGTCAAGCATAAAGATAATATATTCCTTATATAATGAGGGGGGGGGGTGAATTCCAAATGGTTAGCCCGTGCGCGCTGTTTCATAAGGTCTGTCATTCAGTCAACTGACATGGTTTCGATTCTCCAGTTGTACGTGACAAAGAGTAGGGTCGCCTATTCAACCTCGTGGGTTTCTCTCCGGGTCCTCCCGTTTCCTCCCATTGATAAAGACACTTACGCGCAAGCGAATTATTGAAATAAATTTGAACCATATGTTAGTATCGAAATGACCTAGTTTGTGTCGAGTGAACGTTAAACCCCATCTCTCTCTCTCTCTCTCCTCTCTCTCTCTCTCTCTCTCTCTTTCCTCTCTCTATCTCTCTCTCTCTTTCCTCTCTCTATCTCTCTCTCTCTCTCTCTCCGGCCGCTGTCCTGATCATATTTTCCTATTAGCTGACTGTATGGCGTATGGGCGTTAAACCCCATTTCTTTTCATCACACGAATATCTGAATTATATCAACAATTAACGACCGTCAGGTGAGATGTTCCAAGCGTAGAAAATATGTCACATCTGGTGTAGAAAAGAAGGACATGTCTGTTAGATATTATTACAATAAATAACAAGATATACTGACCTGTCTAAACCATTCCTTCTTGGTACTAGCTATCTCATCATACGTATTGGCCATCATAGCAATTAACATATTGATTAATAACAGAGTCACCAATAACATATAAACCACAAACACTGTCTATAAAATATAATACAAACACAATCTATAAACCACAAACACTATCGATAAAATACAATAGAAACACTATCTATAAAATACAATAGAAACACTATCTATAAAATACACTAGAAACACTATCTATAAAATACACTACACACACTATCTATAAAATACACTACACACACTGTCTATAAAATACACTACACATACTATCTATAAAATACACTACACACTATCTATAAAATACACTACACACTATCTATAAAATACAACACACACTATCTAAAAAGTACAACACACACTGTCTAAAAAAAATAAAATACAAACACTACACACAAACACGAGCCCAGTCGGACAGTAGGAATTTAAACTCCATTTAACAATTTATACCACCTTTATTTAATATGTCGAGTCTTTTTCCCTCTCCAATCTATAAATAAAGGTAAGTTTAATACAGAAATGAAATGGGGTTTAACGTCCTGATGTTCTGCTCCTAATCTGGGCTAATGAAGACGGGCATACGCCATACAGTGTGCTATGAGGAAAATTTTGCCCGGGCAGCGGCGTTACGGCCTACTCTTATATCGAATTCCAACTGTCAAGGGATCTTTTACGTTCACGCCAATGTGTACACGGGACCTTGGTGTTTCGTCCCATCCGAACGACTAGACAGCTGTCCTTGTCAGGCCCTCCGTCCTGCATCACTGACAAGTGGAAACCACGCCGGAAAATCTGGATGAACTTTCTCGGCCAATGCAGGGATCGAACACCCGATCTCAGGCTAGCGAGCCAACGTCTTATCCACTGAGTCACCGTGACCCCCTCTATGATTTTAGGATGCTTTGGTATAATATTGTTACTTTACCTTTCCAATGGCTTCATGTCTCGAATCTTGAAAAGTTTCGAAAATCTCTTCAAACTTTCCTACAGACATTACGAACATGCCCATGTGGGCTTCCAGGACATCCCGGAACTGATTTTCAGTTTCAGTAGGGGTACGTCTAAATACCAAAAACATGGCTGAAATATAAACAAGTACAAAAACATGGCTGAAATATAAACAAGTACAAACATGGCTGAAAGTACAAACACATGGCTGAAATATAAACAAGTTCAAAAACATGGCTGAAATGTAAACAAGTCAAAAACATGGCTGAAATATAAACAAGTACAAAAAATATAAACTAAAATACCCCCATTCAAACATAATTTACTTAAAGATTTTAGCACTAATAGAGACCTTTAAAAAATACAATATTGTCAAAGTTTAAATGGCTCAATTTATTTAAAAAGTTCTATCGATTTATGTAACAAGAGTGTCGACATCTTTAATTGCCTCGAAAGAAATTGATTGACCCTTTTTTCTTAAAATCCGTTTGTATTCTAGTCGTGCCGCCACTGTCCAGGTGCAAAAATTCCGCCATAGTACACTGTATGGCGAATGCCCGTCTTCATGATCCAAATCGGATAGTAGGATTTCAAACCCCATTTGGCAATTTATACCACCTTTATGTAGTATGTCGAATCCCTTCTCCACCACCCTCTCGCAACTTTTCACCAATCTTCTATACTAATATTTGTGACTGTCGTTTGTCTGTTTGTCTGTCTGTTCGGGGTTGGCGGCTACACTAGGCCTGCCCCGAGTCTGAAATTTGGGGTATAGGGGTAGCTCGGACCGGGGAGTAACATAGGCCAGATGGCGTTAGTCTACCACTTCCGTTTCGGAGTTATGACCCCCGAGCAAAGCGGGGTTGGCGGCTACACTAGGTCTGCCCCGAGTCTGAAAATTGGGGTATAGGGGTAGCTCCGACCGGGAAGTAACATAGGCCAGGTGGCGTTAGTCCACCACTTCCGGTTTCGGAGTTATGATCCCCGAGCGAAGCCGGGTATCCTGCTAGTCTATAGATAAAGGTAACTCCAATATTTACCTTGTGAGAAACCAATCACAAAAATGGCGTAAATTATCACAAAACGCAGTAAATCATATCTAATCATTTTATAAACCATGACAACATACGGGCCCATTAATTTGATACCCCTGGAAAAATACAGATTAACGAAATCATTGTTCTGAGAAAAAAAAGGATTATAAATTTTTAGCATAAACGTGATTAAACAATTAAATACTTAACCAGATTAAAAAAAACTCAGATAAGTTAAAAAAAAAATAAACAGATTAAAAAAAAATAAACAGATTAAAAAAAAATAAACAGATTTAAAAAAAACAATCAGAAATAAAAAAAAATAAAACAGAATAAAAATGAAATTTAAACAACAACCAGATTAAAAAAAAAAACAACAATTTTTTTAAAAACAGATTTAACAGAAAAAAAAGAAAGAAAGAAAAATGGATTAGTTTTAAAAAAATATAAATTACGAATTAAAAAATATAGATTAAAAAAGGTACAGATGAAAAAATTACAGATTAAAAAATTACAGACTAAAAAAATAAGATTAAGAGACAGACTATATAATTTTTTTTAAAAACAGATTTAGCAGAAAAAAAGAAAGAAAGAAAAATGGATTAGTTTTAAAAAAAAATACGAATTAAAAAATATAGATTAAAAAAAGTACAGATTAAAAAATTACAAATTAAAAAAGTACAGATTAAAAAAATATAGATTAAAAAATTACAGACTAAAAAATAAAAGATTAAGAGACAGACTATATAAAAGAAATAAAGATTAAAAAAAAAACCAATTAAAAATATAACAGATAAAGAAACGATAAAAAAACAAAAACACACCAAATAAAAAAATAAAAATAAAAAAGAATATCAAAAAAGATTAAAAAGAATAGGAACTAGAATTAAAAAACAAATAAAGATCGTAATTTAAATAATATCGTGAAATATTTGTTTTACTTACTGACAGAGGAAGAGAAAATATGGGGTGGTCAGGAGAATAACACAAACTGCGACACAATCTTCAACAAGAGGTTGACAGGAAAACCGTAGTGGTAACAACACAACGACCACCATCAAGCAAGCAATTAAAAATAACCCTTTTACTGGTACGTTTCTCTGTAAGATAAAGTGTGATTCAGTGATGACGGGTTTCACTGGTGACTTTTAAGACATAACTGGGTAAGAATGAATTGGTGGAAACAGGGTTAGTTAGAACTGTGATGCACCGATGACGGGTTTCACTGGCGATCTTTAAGACTAAACTGGGTAAGAAAAAATGGGTGGAATGGGGTTTAACCATCTACTTGACTGCTCGTTAATAAAGACGGGCATACGCCATACTGTGTGTTATGTTGGGCACCGATTGACTTCCTAAAGGTTTTTAAAAATCAGGTGACCTTGATACGTGAACATAATTTTTGTAGCATCAAAATGACTAGATGTTGTATCTTGCCCAGTCCTCAGCACTGTACAACTACACAGTGATTTCTCGGAGAGCACCGTTAGAAAGAGAAATGAAATGAAATGGGGCTTAATGTCCTACTGTTCTGCCCCTATACTGGGCTATTGAAGGCGGGCATACGCCCTTCAGTGTGCTATGAGGGAAATTTTGCTCGGGCAGCGGCGGGGGTAAGGTTTATTTCTGGACTAACATAGTAAAATGTTATTTCAATAACAGGGGACCCTGAAAGCACCCACGAGGTTAGGTACGCCACCCCACTTATTGTCAGTACAATGGTAAGATTGGAGAGAGAGAGAGAGAGAGAGAGAGAGAGCGAGATGGGTTCAACGTCCACTCGACACAAACTAGTTCATTTCGGGACTAACAAATGGTTTAATTTTATTTCAATAATTCGCTTGCCCGTAGGGGTCTTTAGCAGTGGGAGGAAACCGGAGGACCCGGAAAAAACTCACAGGGTTGGACAGGCGACCGTACTCCTTGTCACGTAGAACAGGGGATTCGAAACCACGCCAGTCGACTCAATGACAGGTAAGATTGGAACCACGACACTTGGTTTAATGACAGACTTTATAATCTAAAACGCACCCAACCCGACCACACCCCTACCCGACCCGACCACACCCCTACCGACCCGACCACACTCCCACCCAACCCGACCACACCCCTACCCGACCCGACCACACTCCCACCCGACCCGACCACACTCCCACCCAACCCGACCACACCCCTACCCGACCCGACCACACTCCCACCCAACCCGACCACACCCCTACCCGACCCGACCACACTCCCACCCAACCCGACCACACCCCTACCGACCCGACCACACTCCCACCCAACCCGACCACACTCCCACCCGTAAATAAAAAGAGAAATAAACAAATCCATTCGTTATTTAACTGACCAGTGATCTGCATAATCCAACGAGTGTTTGATGTCTATTTTCAAATACAGTTAACATCAGATACAGCAACGCTGAGACCCATACCAATATCTCAAAGACGATCCGTACCTACAAAATAAATAATATACGTAATCTTCTAGGACGATCCGTACCTACAAAATAAATAATACACGTAATCTTCTAGGACGATCCGAATCTATGAAATAAATAATATAAATGTATCAAAAAATATTGATGTATTCTTCTAGAAACTAGGGTATTGGCCATGCCATTTCTGCATCCAGCTTCGGTATCATACTTTGACAGTGTGCAAAGGGGGCGAGAGAGGGGGACAGAAATGGTGACACTGTCAGCAATCATTTCAATGGGCCTTCAATTGGGGCACCAAACATAACCTATGTGACTTATTTATATTTAATTTGAACAACCAGTCTATGACAGTTGTTTTACATATTTCAAATGTCTTCCATTCTCACTTAGTATTATTATTATTATTATTGAAAAATTTATAAAGCGCATAGCTTCCACTGTTAAGTGTCCATATGCGCTGTACACAATTAAAAGATTCATAAATAAAAAAATGCATATAAATAAAAGAGTTACAGAAAAAGATTTAGACAAATAGGCAGCAATGTAAAATAACGACAAGTATAAAATGACAAGATAAAACACAAAGAATACATTTAAGTAAAACACAGGTTAAAAATAAGAACACATTATAAAGAAGTGACATTTAAAGAGTTTATATAAAAGCTATTTTAAAAATATGTGTTTTTAGAAGATTTGAAAGAAGCCAATGATGAACATGTTCTAATATCTAGTGGTAATTTGTTCCTATACTTTGAGTCTTGTAGGCATGCGATCAACCCCGGCCATCATCAAATCTCTACACGTCACGCTCTTTACCCACATGAGAATGTCCGTGATAGTAGCAGTAAAAACCACCGAGATTCGGGCATGCTTTCGTATTTCTTGTAACGTGGATTGAAACGAAATGGAGTTAAACGTACTACTGTTCTAGTCCTACTGGGTTAATGCAGAGTAGGGATATTGTGCCAGGACAGTGGCGCTACGACCTACTCTTATATCGAAAGACTATACGTTCTCCCTTGTCAGGACCTCCGTCCGTCCTACACTAACAAAGGGAAACCACGTCGAAATATCCAGATGAACTTTCTCGACCAAGACCGGGATTGAGCACGTGACCCCCAGGCTAGCTAGCCACCGTGTACCCTTTTGATATATTGTAACGTATAAACATGAGACCGACCCATGACTTGCATAGCGAGCATGCCTTATCAATGAGTTACAATCAATACTCACGGTGTCTTTCTTTCTATACGGTTTATAAAGATAACAGGAGTTAACGGATATATTGATCCCAGATCGATTACAATAATCCGGATTAACTGGCACCGTCCTATCGATACAATAATCCTTCCCTGGTCTTAATCCTATGGCAATCGCTGCCATCACATAGTATATCGCAAACAGCACACATCTTAGATAAAACCTGAAAATATATACGAAATGAAAATCCAAATGAAATCGGGTTTAACGTCCTAGTGTTACCCTGGGATAATGAAGATATGCCATACAGTGGTTTATGAAGGGAAATTTTGCCCGGACATAGGGAAAAATAATAATAATATATTTAATTGATTTTGATATACAGGAGAACTGCACAATAAACCACAGACAGAACAAACGTGTGCTGGTATCTAACATAACAAAAAACAGAGATAAATGATAGTTTTGAGAAGTTGTATAAATTGACTTACTTTTGTCGAATATATATTTTCCATTTATCTGTCAGCATATTCTTGACCAATCCATCCATCATATTAATATGTGATTGTTCTTCCTGAAAATATTTATTTTATTATCAATATGTGATTGTTCTTTCTGGAAATATTTATTTTATTATTATAGATACCAGATGGTGTTATATATCAAACGACATTCTACGTCCTATCAGTTATATCAACGCATGTGCATCGGTATTTCCTGTGGGAGGGGAGGTAACCAGAGTACCCGGCACGAGGCTCAAAAAGCGCCGCTGTCACCAAGCTAAGTATCGAAACCGAAACCACAACCCACCCTGACCCTCCCCCAAACCATTTCTACACCTACCAGATTGCAACCGAAGAATAGAATGAAAACTTTGTCTAGGGTTGGTCGAAAAATGATGTTGAGAAAGAGTATGAGAGTGCATCACGACCATCTCGTCTTATACCCCCTGTGTTAATTAAATCTCTATTCTATGTTAGATTCTTGCGCGTTAGACCATAAGATCTGCCATTGAGTCAATCGGCGCGGTTTCGATGATTCCCCGCTTGTACGTAACAGGGTGTAGAGTCGCCTGTCTCACCTCATGGCCGTTCTCTGGTCCTCTAGTTTCCCAAAAAATAATTATTTGTGTCGAGTTGACGTCAAATCCCCATCTTCACTCTGCACCGACTGGCCTTATAAAGACGTACATATGGAGTGTGCTTTGGGGGAAATGTTGCCCATACAGCAGAGCTAAGGCCTATTCTTATTTCGAAGTCCAACTGGCAGTTGTACTTGTACGAGTACACACAGTCTCGGTTTTGTCGAACCACTCGAACGACACTGTCCTTGCCAGCCCTCCGTCCTGCACCACTGACGAAGGGAAAACACGGCGGGGAATCCTTGAAGATCTTGACAGTGTGTATCTCTATACCAACAAATTGATTACACAGATGAAGTCATTGACGACGGAGACCAATTTCCTTACCCCATAAACAATCAGACTGAGAGCTGAATTGTGGTTAATTTTGCCACTCTTTGAGATCGTATCAAAATCTTCTAGAGGATAGCCAGCACACAAAACATCCCCAAATCTCCAGAACTCTGTTCTCTCTAACTCCAGAATTGATTCAAACATCTGAAACATACAAAACTTTGTTCTGTCTATCTCTAGGATAGATTCAAACATCCGAAACATACAAAACTCTGTTGTCTCTATCTCTAGGACAGATTCAAATATCTGACACATGCACAAACATCTGAAACATATAACCGACGAATACATTCAAACATCTGAAACATGCACAAACCCTGTGCTTTCTAACTCCATCATAGATTTAAACATACAAAACTTACTCAATTGTGAAGAGAAGCAAATTATACATATGGTCTGCAGAGGATACATTTTTAATTAATCATACATTTGTAAATACCGAACGGAACTGAACCATATTTGGACTACTATACCTAATATGGATTCAACGTTCTTAATATGGTAATGGTAGTTTACATGGGAATTTCTTTAAATTATATCAAATTACTGTCATTATTCTTTAGATACACCCACAGAATTAATAATTAACCAACCTCCTTTCTGGCCAGTTTTGCTGCCAGTGTTAACGGTGTTAATCCTTGCTTGTTTTTAATGTTCAGATCTGCACCTTCATTCAGTAAACGTTGAAGCAGTTCCTGAAAACATATACCAATAATTAAAATTAACACGCACCAGCGAACTAGTAATTTTGGGTTTGTGATATCATAAAAAGAAGATCATCTTTAACGTGCACGCCAATGTGTACAAGGGACCTCGGTTTTTCGTCCTATCCGAACAACAAGACAACTGTCCTTGTCAGGCCCCCACGTCCTGCACCGCTGACAAGGGGAACCACGCCGGAAAATCTGGATGAACTTTCTCGGCGAATGCAGGGATCGAACACCCGACCTCCAGGCTAGCGAGCCAGCGTCTTACCCACTTAGCCACCATTATCTAGAAGAACAACCTGACAATTGTCTGACATAAGAGGAGAGGGGGTGGGGGCGATGGCGGAATGGTTAGCGTGTGCGCGATGGATCATAAAGTCTGCCACTGAGTCAACTTGCATGGTTTTCTCCGGGTACTCCGGTTTCCTCCTACCACTGCTAAAGACCCCTACACGCATGCGAAGTATTGAAATATACATGTAATTAAAACCATATGTTAGTCACGAAATGACCTTGTCTATCTCTCTCTCTCTCTCTCTTCTTCATAAGACCAGTCGGAAGCCCAAATTTCATTAGGCTGAGCAGTCGGAAGTTAAACCTTTAAAAGTCTATACGTGTATATGCATTTCAGCGATGAATATTGTGCTTTTAGAGATATATTTATCTGGCCAGGTAATAACCGTATTATCAGTTTTCATTAGTCTAGTGAGTGTATTGTGAGGAATATTATATAATTATTTAATTTACCCTTTTATCATGTATAACGGCCATATGTAATACCGTATTACCATTAGAATCTTGTAAGTTAATCAAAGGTGGTTCGTCAGGCTTCTTCGTTTCTCTATCTTTCTCTAGAATCCATGAAATATAATCTGATTTGTCGGAACCTGAACTTGATTTGTCTGAATCTGAACATGGTTTATGTAAACTTACAGCAAAACTGAGAGGATATTCTCCGAAGTAAGCGATGCTGAAAAAATAAAAATAAAAAAATAAAAAAGATACACACATAAAATAGAGAAATAATTTAGTGCCTACTTATCATATTACAAACAAGATAGCATTATATTCAAAACATGATAATGTTATAAAAAGACACGGTTAAAATCAAACCATTATGACATTATAGAAAGATACCCTTAAAATTAAAACATTATGCCATTATAGAAAGATACAGTTAAAACCAAACCATGATGACATTACAGAATCCTGTGTAACTTTGTTAAAATATATCGTGAACATCTAAACTGTGTAACGCTATATGTAACTGTGTAACGTTAACATCAAACCAAGATCACGCCAAAACAAAAGATACGGTTAAAATCAAAACCGTGTAACGTTATGAAAATATACCGTTAGCATCAAACCATGATTACGTCAAAAACAAAGATACGGCTAAAATCAAAACCTTGTAACGTTATGAAAATATACTGTTAACATATCAAACCACAATCACGTCAAAAACAAAGATAGGGTTAAAATTAGGATGACGTTAATTAAAGATACATTATGTAAGATTTAGATAAAGAACTAGCCATTCTTGCAATAATAGTTGGAAAGTAGATGATTAAAAATGAATAATTTGAAAATTTCATTCAAAGTACTCCATTGCAAGCGAAGATATTAGCCTTTGAAGGTTTGACAGACGTGTGTAATAATTTCAACCACCGTACTGGTTGATCGAAGCTAAGTCTCGGTCCTCCATATTTGATTAAATCAAAGTATCGCTAAACCATTCTAATCTATTTAATATCGGAGAAATCTGATGCCATCGTGAGTTGATTAAGGCCTGGATCAGTTAATTAATGTGTAATTAATACTTTAGAAAACATTTCAGGCCTAAAGAAAGACCTGCAATAGGCAGATTTAGCTCTTGCATAATGCATGTTTAAAATAAAGTTAAATCGGCACACCGTTGAAACCAAAACACTATAAAGTTAAAGCGGTACACCTTTGAAACCAAAACACTATAACGCTAAAGCGGTACACCTTTGAAACCAAAACACTATAACGCTAAAGCGGTACACTATTGAAAGTGAAAGTGAAATGAAATGAAATGGGGTTTAACGTTCTACTGTTCTGCTCCGACTGGGCTAATGAAGACGGGCATACGCCATACAGTGTGCTATGAGGGAAATTTTGTCCGGGCAGCGGCACTCTGGCCTACGCTTATATCAAATTCGAACCACCAGGGGATCATTTACGTGCAGGCCAATGTATACACGGGCCCTCGGGTTTTCTTCCCATCCGAACGACTAAACAGCTTTCCTTGTCAGGCCCTCCGTCCTTCACCACTTACAATGCGAAACCGAGTCGGAAAATCCCGATTAACTTTCTCGGCCAATGCAGAGATCGAACACGTGACCTCCAGATTAGCGAGCCAAAACAGTATAACGTTAAAGTGATAAACCATTGAAATCAACACTATAAAAAATGAAAATCTAAGTCCAGGGGTCCAATTCATGAAAACTTAAATCAAAATATTTCAAGAATCCTGAACTTTCATTGGCCAAGAGCTAGAATTTGTCCTAGGATTTGGAATCTCAAACATTGAAACGTCTGCATCCGTTTTTGAATTTGAATTTTATATTTCAACCAATGAAACGACTGCATCCGTTTAAGTTTTAGTGAATGTCGCCCCTGGGGTTGATACTTACCCCTTATAGTTTGTTTTTGTCGAGACGACCTTGAACCATTCATTAGGTGGATCATCAGTTAGGGATTTTTTCTGATCTTTAGGAAAGAAGAATCGTCCACAAGCTCGGGCTCGACAATCAGCCCCTTTATCTAAAACAAACTTCACCATTTCACTATCCTCATTTGCAATCGCCATATGTAGTACATTCTCGCCTGTTGTTTAGAAATAAGAAAATTTAATAAGCATCCGCATGTTTAAAGAATCGCAATACTACTACAAATCAAATTAAATTATATATTCAAATATATGCTACATTTCAGGGGGGTTGGGTGGCCGAATGGTTAGCACGTGCGTGCCGTATCATATGGCCTGTCATTGAGTCAACTGGCGTGGTTTCGAATCCCCGGATGTACGTGACAAGGAGTAGGGTCGCCTGTCCAACCTCGTGGGTTTTCTCCGGGTCCTCCGGTTTCCTCCCACTGCTAAAGACCCCTACGCGCAAGCGAATTAATGAAATAAAATTAAACCATATGTTAGTCCCGAAATGACCTAATTTGTGTCGAGTGGACGTTAAACCCCATTTCTCTCTCTTTCTCTGCTACATTTCAATTGGTATGCCACATATACATTCACCAGAGGATCCACCCCCCCCCCCCCCCCGTCCCCACCAGAGGGTTTTGTAAACAAAATAAGCAAATTAAATAGTATGATTGTTTGTGATACATCTAGAATAGAAACCGAGACCTTCTTCATGAGCCATTAGGACTAACATTGTTTTCGGGGCGTTTCCGCGTTTTCGTGATGTTTTCGCTTCGTTTTAAAGCGTTACCGCAAGTGTTTTAGCAGCGTTTCCGCTCGTGTGTTCGCTAATTACACGTGAACGTCCTGTTTTGTTTGCATTAGACGTTTCGCCAACGAAATCGGGTGAGGAAAGGCCTCGAAAACTAGCATATGGAGAAAAAGCCCTGGACGTTTTTCGAAGGGTATAGCGGTCGTGGATTAAATTCGGGCTTAAGATCAGTAGCGGTTGGGGGTTAAATCCGGGTCCAAGATCAGTAGCGGTTTGGGATTAGATCCGAGTCCAAAAAGGGTTGGGGCTATATTTACCGTAGTATTCGCCACTGTTGTAAATATCTTTCACCAGACTGGGGTAAATGTCCAGCAGACGTTTGGCCAGTTCTCTGTGAGTCTTTTTTGGGTTCAGGAAACACAGGTGAAGGATTGTCTCGCCTACCGTACCACGTTTGTCCAAATTCCAACATAATTCACGTTGTTTACCCGAATCTGGAAAATGAACAAAATAATAAATTAAAAGGTCCAGGTTTGACAGGGTATTTGTAAAAGAATGGAATGGGATTTATAGTATGTGCAATGCGATTGGGGTGGTGTGGGGTATTTCCACCTAATCAGTCAAGTTATGTGCTCTAAAAAATTTACATAGGACTCTTGATCCCTTTTCCATGTCAAGCGTCTGTCTAGATAACTAGGCTGGGGTTTCTGTTCCAAATGTATGCATGCAAATGAAATTGCCTTTTTATCGTGGCTGAAAAATTCCTTTTAAAATATTGTATTCTTCAGCCCTGTGGGTGTATATATTGTCTGAGCAGTACGTTATATCAGATATTCTTAGACAAGCTTACTCTTTCTAAAACACACCCTATCACTTCTCATTCATAAGTACGGTCCAAATAGGTACTTTTGTATTTGTGCAAGTGAATCGTTGGATGTCCGAATGGTTAGCGTGTGCTCGCAGTATCATAAGGTCTGTCAATGAGTCAACTGGCGTGGTTTCGATTCATCGGTTGTACGTGTAAAGAAGTAAGGTCGCCTGTCCAATCTCGTCGGTTTTCTCCCGGTCCTCCGGTTTCCTCCCATTTCTAAAGACCCCTACGCACAAGTGCATTATTGAAATAAAATTAAACCATATGTTAGTCCCTAAATGACCTAGTTTGTGTCGAATGGACGTGACCCCCCCTCTCTCTCTCTCTCTCTCTCTCTCTCTCTCTCCCTCTCCCTCTCTCTCCCTATTTGACGTTAAATCAAATAACATTTAAATTTACAAACCGGTTCGTGTTTTTTCTTTGTTTGCAAGAAATTTGTCTTCTTGGGATTTCCTGTATTCGATTAGTTTGGATATATTTACAAATTCTCCGTCTCCATCCGCGTACAGATATTCCCGTATATTTCTTATTTCGTTGTCTAATGTAGAATAATCGTGATTGCGTGAAGCCAGTTCCATTAATTTTATCAGTTCTCCTCCACCGTCCATATCCACTAATTTATACAGTGGTCGTCCTTGACCTTGTTTTTTTACGTTTTCCGCCACCCACTTTTCCATCTTGGTAATACCACAAATCACACCCTATTAACTGTTAAAAAATAACAATAACAAATTACAACCTATACAGTAAATTCCAATAGTCAAAAATCACATGATATTAACTGAGAAATGAGAAACCACACCCTTTTAATTCACAAAATCTAAATAAACAGATAATTGCACTTTGGTGTGTGTCACGTGATGAGTTCTGTATTAGTTTAAAGCTTTGTAATCATTTCACAGTTGAGTGAATCAACCCTTTGTCTTATTGTACACCGGTTCGTAAATAAAATAAAAATATGGCAATAATAAATTCAAATCCGCAATAAAAGATACACATTTTATATATATTATATCAAACAGGCATTGTGTCATATCTAGATTAAGAATCGACCGTTCTTGCTTTAATAGTTTTAAAATAAATAATGGAAAATAAAAATATGGAAAATTCACTTAAATTACGGACCTGGTCCTTTCATAATAACGAACAGGTCATTTCATAACAGGTTTGCTGATTGGCCCAGACACCGCGTGCAAAGCATTATGGTTACGTGGCTGGCTGAGCGGGCGATAAATATTTGATTTAGGTAATAATGTTTTTGGGTACCTACATGCGATTCACTCTGATAAGTGGCAGAAAAAAATTAACAAAATATTACTGACAGGCTAACTAGACACAATTTTATGGAACACAGTTACTTTTCACTTCACACATGTTTACAGGATGATTCTCTGTGTGTTTTATTTTAGCAATGTAAACCATATTGGGATATGTACAGGTTTTATACAGATAGAATCTTAACTAATAATTGTCGTAAATAAATAGGAATTTGTGCCTACTATGTAATTTTTTTTTTTTTTTTTTGGGGGGGGGGGGGCAAGTATATTCACCCCCACCCCCCAAAAAAAAAACAATTGAGGGGGTCGCTCCCCCCCATGGACCCCCCTCATGTGTGACGCCCATGCGTGAATATCAAATAAATGCTAATCTCATTCTACAAATACACAGACTACTCGTGTGAACTGCGTCTCTCTTGCCGCAATCTAAACGGCCATAAGTTTTTACGTCATATTTCCTACCATCCATCCTGTAATTGTGATCATTAATTTGAAGATACTAAATACTGTGTAATAACATGCTCCTTATATTCATATGGCTGCACAATAAGTAATCTACCGTCTAACCATTCAAACACTATCTTAATGCACGGAAATGACGACCCGGAAAGCTCATTTAAATGTTTATAAATATGTCCATTCAATTTTCGAAATCACCAGAAGGTATCTGACAGGGGGGGGGGGGGGGGGTGTTGAATATAGGCTATGTCTATATTTCTCTCATTGCACACTGCAAACGGCTGTACGTGACAAGTAGTGGGGTCGCCTGTCCAACCTCGTGGGTTTTCTCCGGGTCCTCCGGTTTCACCCCACTGCTAAAGACCCCTACGCGCAAGCGAATTATTGAAATAAAGTTGAACCATGCGATGGTCCCGAAATGACCTAGTTTGTGTCGAGTGGACGTTAAACCCCATTTCTCTCTCTCTCTGCACACTGCAATAGCCCAGTCGGAACAGTTGGACGGGCGGTAAACCCAGTTTCATAAAATTTTCAAGCTACAGTAATGGTGCATTCATCGCCCCAAGCTCCTTGCTCGTTATAAATTCAACATTAATTAACTTAGTCATATTAATTATCAAAACAAACGTGTTTCTATCTTACTGTCAGTTGTTTATTTAAATTATACACGTTGTCTTTATAAGAACGTAGATAGAGTCTACACTACACCCTTAATAACCCACTACCATGTAACTTGTGTTTAGACAGGGGGGTTGGATGGCCGAATGATTAGCACGGGCGCGCTGTATCATACGGTCTGTCATTGAGTCAATTGCCGGGGTTTCGATTCCCCGGATGTACGTGACAAGGAGTAGGGTCGCCTGTCCAACCTCGTGGGTTTTCTGCGAGTCCTCTGGTTTTCCTCCTCAATGCGAATTATTGAAATAAAAATTAAACCATATGTTAGTCCCAAAATGACCTAGTTTGTGTCGAGTGGACGTTAAACCCTGCAGAGTATACCCACTATGTTAGGCAGGGTGTTGGGTGACTGAGGGGTGTAACACGTGCGCTTTAGATCCTAAGATCTGTAGTTGAATCAAGTGGTGTGGGTTCAATTCTAATCTTGTACGTGACGAGTAGTAGGATTGTTTTACCAACCTCGTAAGTTTTCTCCGGGTCCTCCAGTTTTTTCCAATTACTTAAGCAACCTACACGCAAGCGAATTATTGAAATAAAAAGTTAGTCCCGAAATGACCTAGTTAGTGTCATTTATTTAAATCTCAGCCATAATGTTTGACAAATATTTCACAAATTTGGCTGATAACCTAATTCCGGATGTGAATGTGTGTTTAAATCATCACTCCAATGGAACGACATTAAAAACTGTACTTTACAATATCAAGCAGCGGTGTTCGGTTGTCGAGTCGTCTAAATTTTGTACCCAACGTCCCGTCACGCCTCCCCCACGCTTTAAGACCGGCTATAGGTCTCCCGTCAAAAGGCAAAATCTAGTAACTCACTTTTTTCTTATTTTGAGAAAACAAAGGAAAACGTAATGAATGAATATTAAACGCCATCTCATCCATTGATTTGACTATTGAGTTACTAGGTTTTGCTGTGGTATACTAGGCAAATGAAGGAAGTTGCTAGGTTGTGTCATGGGTGTAACTGCTTACAAAATCAAAAGATTGGAATATCTAGTACAACAACAGGAAGCACATACCCTAGTAACTACAAATTTGGTCCTAACTCAATTCTGATAAAAAAAAAGTGAGTTACTAGGTTTTGCCTTTTGACGGGAGAGGTAATGACATTTATTACTGGCTGTTATTAATTTCATATATATTGTCCACAAGTTTACTAAATTGTAATTTGTGCTTGATAACGATAAGAGGATACTTGTCGAAACGTCGTGATTTTAAAATAAACTCGTGATTGTATCCCATAAAAACTGTGTTCTGTTATCAACGTTTATCTTGGGTTTAACGTCTCGTCAACACGTCACTGCTCCGACTAGGCTAATGAAGACGGGTATGCGCCATACAGTGTGCTATGAGGGAAACAAAGAAATGCCGGTTTATCGTCTACTCAATATGAAATGAAATGAAATGAAATGGGGTTTAACTACGCAGGCTAATCTAATGGGGTTTAACGAAATGAAATGAAATGGGATTTAACGTCTTACTGTTCTGCTCCGAACTTGGCTAATGAAGACGGGCATACGCCACACAGTGTGCTACGAGGGAAATTTGGCTCGGACAGCCGCACTACTGCCTACTCTTATATCGAATTCCAACTGTCAAGGGATCTTTCACGTGCACGCCAATATGAACACGGGACCTCGGTTTTTCGTACCATCCGAACGATTAGACAACTGTCCTTGCCAGGCCCCCCGTCCTGCATCTCTAACAAGTGGCAACTACGCCGGAAAATCTGGATAAACTTTCTCGGCCAGTGCAGTGATCGAACAGCGTCTTACCCACTTAGCCACCGTGCCCCCCCCCCCCCACCCATCGGGTTCAACATCTTACTTTCCTACTCAGAATGAAGACGTACAGTCACCATACAGCGTGCTATGTATTGAATTTTGCCCAGACAGCGGCGCTACGGCCTACTCTTATAACAAATTCCAACTGTTAAGTGTTCTATTACGTACACCAAAATGAGTCCACGCACCGCTTTTTTTTGTACCATCCAAAAGACTTGTATATAATTTAATTTAAATACATATTTTACAAACCTCAAACAGAGTATTAGACTTCTACAAGTTTCCTGAATCATCTGATTAAATCCTATCCTCGACTGTGTTTATGATGTTCCGGCCTTGTATACAGACTTTAAACCGGGAATTAAGTTAATATACCACACAATCACACCCACTTTATACATATATCATAGTCACACTGTATTACAAACCCTGGACAGAACTCGCTTACGACTCTCGCACATTCACTTGATTTGATAGCACTTGATGTGATATTTATTGCTGGTAATGTTCCCCGTGTTGTGTGTGGTGTACACGGGTTTGTTTTCGACTGGTTTCCGTCTGTTTTTATGTTGTGTTGTTCTTCTGCAATTATTATTAATTATAACAGTTAAACACTATGTTCGTTAAATTTAACACAGTCACGATAAAACACAATATACGCTAACTCTAACACAGTCACAGTAAAATACTATATATGTTAAATCTAACACAGTCACGGTTAAACAATATATAGCTTACCTCTAACACAGTCATAGTAAAATACTATATATGTTAAATCTAACACAGTCGCAGTTAAACAATATATAGGTTACCTCTAACACAGTCATAGTAAAATACTATATATGTTAAATCTAACACAGTCGCAGTTAAACAATATATAGGTTACCTCTAACACAGTCATAGTAAAATACTATATATGTTAAATCTAACACAGTCACGGTTAAACAATATATAGGTTAACTCTAACACAGTCACGGTTAAACAATATATAGGTTAACTCTAACACAGTCATAGTAAAATACTATATATGTTAAATCTAACACAGTCACGGTTAAACAATATATAGGTTAACTCTAACACAGTCATAGTAAAATACTATATATGTTAAATCTAACACAGTCACGGTTAAACAATATATACGCTAACTCTAACACAGTCATAGTAAAATACTATATATGTTAAATCTAACACAGTCACGGTTAAACAATATATACGCTAACTCTAACACAGTCATAGTAAAATACTATATATGTTAAATCTAACACAGTCACGGTTAAACAATATATACGCTAACTCTAACACAGTCACAGTAAAATACTATATATGTTAAATCTAACACAGTCACGGTTAAACAATATATAGCTTACCTCTAACACAGTCATAGTAAAATACTATATATGTTAAATCTAACACAGTCACAGTAAAACACTATACACGTTAAATCTAACACAGTCACAGTAAAACACTATACACGTTAAATCTAACACAGTCACAGTAAAACACTATACACGTTAAATCTAACACAGTCACAGTAAAACACTATACACGTTAAATCTAACACAGTCACAGTAAAACACTATACACGTTAAATCTAACACAGTCACAGTAAAACACTATACACGTTAAATCTAACACAGTCACAGTAAAACACTAACACAGTCACAGTAAAACACTATACACGTTAAATCTAACACAGTCACAGTAAAACACTATATAGGTTAAATCTAACACAGTCACAGTAAAACACTATACACGTTAAATCTAACACAGTCACAGTAAAACACTATACACGTTAAATCTAACAAAGTAACAGTTGAACACTAACACAGTCACAGTTAAACACTATACACGTTAAATCTAACACAGTCACAGTAAAACACTATACACGTTAAATCTAACAAAGTAACAGTTGAACAATAACACAGTCACAGTTAAACACTATAAACTTTAAATCTTAATTGAATAAATATAACACAGCCACAATTAAACGTTAAAGATGGGTTCCCAGAAAAGTATTTATCGGGTGGTTATTTCCAATAAAAGTATGGCAATTTTGGTATATGGAAAGTAGAGATATCCAATCTTACTAGAAAAATACTGGACTCCCCGAAAAACACTCATGGAGTGTATACAGGACAAAAATGTAAGGGTTCCGCAAATCAACAGCCCGACAATTAGGAACTTCTGCACGCGTGATGTCAAAGGTCACACGCCAACATTGAGCGCTTGATGTACAAGTTGATAAACGCTATGAAGAGTTAGACGTACAACACTTTCTGAGATAAAAATGATGGAAAAAGACGCGGGTAGTGGATAATCCGAGAATTTAATTAGGATTCGATATTTGTAATAAATAGTAAGCGATTAACGACAACATCGTCTTATGTATGCAATGAATTCTCCTCTGACATCCAAGACGTGACGTAAACATGACCTAGGTTGATCGAATGTTAATAGCAGGGCATTCCTTCGCAATTACAATGTTTGAGAAGGATTTGAAGCATAATTATGACAAATTAATTAGTTTGAATATGTTTTTGGTCCATATATACCATTAAATCACCCAGTTTGTACGCGGGAACCCATCTTTAAACGTTAAATAAAACGTTAAATCTTAAGTTATTTATTAAACATAGTTAAACATTATATTACGTTTACTAAATATAAAAACACGGTTACAGTTAAACATTATATATTTTAAATCTAAATTTATTAAATATAACACGGCAACTCTGAATTGACTAAAGTTATTAAATATCCGTGTTGTATATACATGTAGTTAACATGGGTATACATTTCATAGATATTGTATTATAGTGAATGAGTCTAGTACGCGTTCAAACGTTACAGTTTGTGATGTGTGCAGTTTATTTAGAGTCAACTGGGTCAACTGGCTAGAATAAAGTTAATGCTGAATGTAATGAATAACGTATTGATCATTGGCGGCGCGAGACGGGGGGGGGGGGGATTCTCCCATGGACTTTAATTGAGGGAAGTGTGACTTTTTATTCGAAGCTAGCGATACCCATGCCCTAACTGGTCGCCATATCCAACGATTAGTACACTGATTATAATGCGCGCCTGTTATACACAAAAATAAAATAATTAATCCTTTTCAATTGTATTAAATGGTAGCATAGTAAGTAGTGTTTTCGAGTAAAAGCGAGCGTCGATTTAGGACTTAAAATGTCGGTCAACTAGCTTAGTGGCTGTTCTCAAGCGGAGCTAACTGTAGATAGACAGCCAAAGTTTAGTATGCGCCGGATTCATTATACTTCAAGGGAAATTATTGAAGAGCAGCGGGGAAGAATGATCTAAGTCACTTTTTCAACGAACCCCAGTTAATGGCGCAATCTGCTAGCAAATTGTATGAGCTTTCTGTGGAACAATCAATTTCAGGTAAAAACGATCGGAACGAACCAAGGCCCTTCTGAAATGACCCCCGGACAAATACGTCCATCCTACCCCTTCTTTGATCTTACTTTGCCTGAAAAGCGGAAGTCAGTTGTTGTACTGGTAATTATGATTCGTATTAAACATCATTTTGAAGTTTTAATTAAACCCACTCGTTGTTCTGTTCGTGTCAAGCATTCTCGTCCAAAAGTCTGTTTTGCCTTTTATTCATTTATTATCCATCCATTTCATAGCGTTTGAAAGCTGAATGTCCCATTATCTAAAACAAAATCTCGCCTGCATTAATTTCGTGAATGTTCCAACGAATGTCTCTCAGTCATTAGGGGAGTGATTGTGGCGACGCTTAGACCCGCGTGAGTGGCATTGGAGGTTTGTAATATTTGTGAACATTCCAACATGACAGAGAGAGTAGGCAACCCTACTCCTTGTCACGTCAATTGACTCAATGACAGACTGCACGCATGCGCTAACCATTCGGACATCCACTCCACCCCACCCCCTCAGTGAGACGTAATATATAAAATTAGTGAATGGTATCTATAAAGCTATTTGTTGTTATGTGAGTCTCTCACCATTATTAAGCAATAAGCACACTCGCCGCCCCCCCCCCCCCCCCCGTAAAATCCAAGGTAAAATGAAATGAAATGAAAAGAAATGTGGCTTAGCGTCCTACTATTCTGCTCCGAAACTGGGCTAATGAAGACGCCATACAGTGTGCTACGAGGGAAATTTTGCCCGGACAGCGGCGCTACGGCCTACTCTTATATCGAATTCCAACGGCCAAGGGATCTTTGACTTGCACGTCAATGTGTACACGGGACCTCGGTTTTTCGTCCCATCCGAACGATTAGACAGCTGTCCTTGTCAGGCCCTCCGTCCTGCATCTTACCCACAATCCAACGTAATGTCTCTTCAAGTTTGCTATGACTTGTCTCTAATACTATTGTTGAATGCCATTCATAGTTTTATATACTACCATTCATAGTTTTATATACTACCATTGATAGATTAACATTAAGCCTATTAACATCTAACCCAGGGATTATATTCAAATCAATACCAAATCGGAGAGAAAGAGAGAGAGAAATAGGGTTTAACGTCCACTCGACACAAACTAGGTCATTTCGGGACTAACATATGGTTTAATTTTATTTCGATAATTCGCTTCCGCATAGGGGTCTTTAGCAGTGGGAGGAAACCGGAGTACCCGGAGAAAACCCACGAGGTTGGACAGGCGACCCTACTCCTTGTTACGTACAACCGGGGATTCGAAACCACGCCAGTTGACTCAATGACAGGCTTTGTGATACAGCGCGCACGTGCTAACCATTCGGCCACCCAACCCTCCGAGGCGTTTATGCGATAGTCTGCTCCAAAATACAATGAAAGCATACATTATGCCCTTATCAACATACACGAGATGAGTTATGTCCCTTCACACAAAAAGCAGACACCTTTTCAATTAAATTGTTATTTTTTTTATTCAAAAGTCTGAATTTTGGAGTTATTGGGTGTTATTATGCAGTTATTGGGTGTTATTATGCAGTTATTGGGTGAACCAACCGTTTACTCGACGGAGGCTATCCTGTTGGGGAACCTACACTTTACTCAACCTTGACCCCCTTGCTAGCGATCCTGCAGTTTACTCAGCCATAGCATTATGTAAAAGATAAATCTGACTATTGGATGTTTTTATTTTGGCTTGAAATGTTATATAATTATTCTTATTCATTTACATGACTAGCCTATAACAAACTCTCTAGATCATAGGAGGGCGCAGATGTACGAGATTTGAAATACAATCGCCGTTAAATAATTTAATTCAAAAATGGAGAATCGAGTCTCGAATAACAAGAACCGTTGTTAAGACAATAAACAATCAAACAGTGCTCGGAATACAGTAATCTGAATGCAATTTTCAACATATTCAGTTTTCGTGATCGAAACTATTAAAGCAAAAACGGCCGTATCTTTATTTAAATCTTTTATAATGCATCTTTAAGTACTATTAGGGGTCACAACGTTCAGTTACTGTACAAGGAAGGATATTAATATTGGCTATATTTACTAAGAGAAACTGAAAATAGGGTATAACGAAAAGCTGTCCATGCATTAATTACGTGACGCACATATTCCATCACATAAGGAAAACCCAGTGTCACAGGACATTATTATTTCCGGGGCGTGTCAAAACATAAATAAGTGAAGATAAGAGTTTAAACTTTTAATATAGTCATGGTAATGTAGGTGTAAAATAACAAGTGTTCAACTGTTAGAGACTTGTGTACAAACTATAGCGTTTTAACGTATTAAGCGTTTTAGCATTTGTATAGAAACTATAAAGTTTTGACTATTGAATTGTTAGACACTTGTACAAACTATAACGATCCAACATATTGAACTGTTACGGATTTGTGTACAAACTATAACGTTTTAACGTGCTGAACTGTTGGAGATTTGTGTACTAACTATAACGTTTTAACGTGCTGTACTTTTAGGGATGTGTGTCCTCAACTGTAAGTGCTATACTGTTACAGATTTATGTACTAACTATAACGTTTTAACGTGCTGTACTGTTACAGATTTATGTACTAACTATAACGTTTTAACGTGCTGTACTGTTACAGATTTGTGTACTTACTGTAACGTGTTAACGTCCAGCCTTGTTAGACATTAGTGTATAAAACTATAGCCTTTTAACGTATTGAACGTCTTGGGCTTTAATTATGGATTTGGGACCTGATTGGATTTGGATCCTGTTTCTTGTCCTGCTAATAATCACAGCTGTTATTTTAATATTCTGCGACATCTATCGCTGCATCAAGAAGAAAAATATAAATCGAAATATCAATCGTTCTGTGTATCTCAACCGTCCTCTCATTCCACAGAACCGTGCCTGGACCAATAACTATTTTGAATCTAACATTAGGCAGTCTACGAGACCCACCATTAGTCAGTGATGTTTAGAATATGTTTCTGAAAATTAGAATTTATATTTTTAAAGATGACAATCATGTATTATGGATGAAACTTAATCAATATGCAACTGGATCTTAAAGGTATCAGGACACTGCTCAGATCAATAGCTGATCAACTTTCCTTAAATTTATAATTCTATGGATGCTAGCTGCAATATAAATGGAAGTCCAATGGATGCATTACCATCAACGTGGAAAATTACGTTAAATATTAAACTGTGACGAAGTGGGCGAGATTTAAAACAAAGTAGTCTGAACCCGATTCATCGGCAAGTAACTCGTCTTAAGACTGATAGCTGGTTAAGAATGCTTTAAGCTGCTGCAGCTCGGATAGAAATCTTTGTTCGGGAAAAGACACCCAGCGTGTCTCTAAAAACTCTGTAATCCAGATCACTCAACATGTCTCTACAGACACTCTGTAATCCAGAGCACTCAACATGTCTCCGTAGACGCTCTGTCTCAACATATTGCTGTATGTCATGAACTGTTACAGAGATATTATACTGTACGTGTGTAAAACATTTAAAGGGCTTATATCGATAGTAACCTTAAAATTCACGAAATTCGGCCTAAAAGCATATATTAATGTAATATGAATTGGTATAGAGTGATTTTTATCTCATTTTTTAATTTTTTATTGTAATTTCTAATCAATTATGTTCGGTGAAATACGTGAACAGTTCAAATTAAAGTTGCAACTTCATATTTTCTAAGAAAGTCAAAACATAATTATTTCTATGTCTTTTGCTCAATAGGTTGTCAACTCACTATTATACGATCATAGGTGTCATTCTCACATTTAAAACTCATTTACACCGGAAATAATAACACAATTACCCCCAAATTACCTCCTTTGTTTTCTATTCTCCACCATGGAGTAGCTATCTTCAAACGTTTGAATTTAAGATGAAAATGATTTTTTTGCCAATTTCTCAACTGGAAATAGTGAATTATAGGATTATTCTTTAACAAGGTAGGACTGTTTATAGATGCCATCTATTTTAAGGCTTTATTTTAATAAATTTTAAAAATATAACTTAAAAATATGAAATTGCAACTTTAAACAACATTCGTTAGTTTCTGTTTTTAGTCCAGTAGGAACGTTTTCTTTATTATTATGTTGATGTTTTTTTAATCAGCCATTGTACTGTCTTGTAGCATATGTTTTGTTTTGTGCATTACAAATGGCGCACGAAACCATAGAATACACGACTCGTGTAGTGATTATAAAATAATCATTGCGTCTTAAATATTGGATATTAGGATCCCACATTTCACGACAAGATAGCAGCATCAATATTGACCCATATTGAATTATAATTATTGTTATTAATTTCAAATATTGTGGCAAATATTGAATTAGAGGTTCAGCTCCTTTAAAGTTGATGCCATGAATTCAGTAGTAACCAGTGTAAACTTCCAGTTTAGAATTGATCGATTGGAGTAATTTTAAGAACCGATTTTTTTTTCAAATTAAAAGCACCGTTGATTGCACGAGGTTGTTGTTGTTCTTCTTGATGTTTAACGTCCGCTTCTAGCGATGGTGATATTGAAAGCAGGTTGTCATAGTTTCTTTTCTATTATCTTAGCGGACGCGTAGGAGCTTTTCCTGTAGGAGGAAACCATAGTCCCCTGAGTAAACCCACGAGGTTGAGAAGGCGCCCTTATCTCCAAGCTACATAAGCTCAAATCAGGGATCGAAACCACCACCGCAAGGCAGAGATCATTGGTCAACTAAAGCTCTAAGAGCGACACTCCAGACTAGTTCCCATGCCAACCCCCTATTTGCGAATGGTCTTAAATTGTCATACTTGGATGTTTGGACTTTAATGGTTTATAGCCCTAGACAATGGATAGGAATCAATAAAAACAAAAGATGACATTTAATCCAATATCGTATTTTGTCCTCCTTCGATATGTTTTGTGGCTCTGCGAGGATGCCTTTCCATACAGAATACTGAGCAATGTCTAGTGGGCTGGAACCGCTATGTACGGAATGGGCCCTTTGCTAGATACAATACCAAACATCAAATAATGAATACTGCATGGCGTATGTCCGTCTTCATTGGTCCTGTTGAAACACAACATTAGGATGTTAAACCTCATTTCATTTCGCATCATTCAACTGGTTTGTGGAGAAACCCCATTTCATGTCAATTAGTTTAACAACAGGTGCGTGACATCACGATCTGATGCAATCATTTGATTAAAATGTTTGTATGGCTTTTATTAGATTACGGAAATAACCATAGAAAAAAAATGGGGTATAACCAATTTCTTTTGTGTGTTTTTTTTTTTAAAAAGGTGACATAAAATAAAGCTGTAAATATTTCCGTATATGACGTTTTCAGGTGAGAGGGGTGGTGTAAGGCGGATATTGGTGACGAGGAGCTGGAATGGGCGATGCAGATCGGCTAGGGGTGGGACAAGGGGGGGGGGTGATGCCGGGTGGTTAGGGGTGTGTCGGGGCGAGGCGGGGCGGCTACCATCGTGGCGAGCGGGGAGTAGCGATGCAGGATGGCTGGGGGCGACTAGGTACCCTGGAATGTCTTACCCTAACCCCTGACCTTGAACTGCACACTTTGGTGAAAATCATATATTGTCCGATTAAGTTTTACAACGATTAAAACAGGCTCGTGATTCGCAGCGAACTTTGACAAATTGCGGTAATGAACAGCTTATTTCGATAATGAACGGTTCATTCCAGTGACAAATGAGCTGACACCCAGAATGATACCATTACCACGTGGTAGAAATTACCACGTGGTAGAAATTAAAATATGAAATGATACAGAGATAGCTTATACAAAAAACCGGGGGGGGGGGGGTAGCTCGTGCGCGTTGTATCAGAAGGTCTGTCATTGAGTCAACAGGCGGTTGAACGCAACAAGGAGTAGGGTCGCTTGTCCAACCTCGTGGGTTTCTGCGGGTCCTGCGGTTTCCTCCTACTGCTAAAGACCCCTACGCGCCAGCGAATTATTGAAATAAACTTGAACCATATGTTAGTCTAGAAATGATCTAGTTTGTGTCGAGTGGACGTTAAACCCGGAAACAGTGAGCAGAAATGCCCCCCCCCCCCGATAGCCGATTGGTGCAGAAAAGTATAAGGACATTGAAATCCTGTTTCGTTTCATTCCATTTCTATGAAAAAACTTGTCTGCGATATCACCCTCAGTGGATGCGGACGTTAACACATTAGTACCATTAGTCTGACTGTTCCATTAATCATCCCGCCGAGTCCATGATTCAATCCCACGGAAATATTAAATAATAAGAAATTCCCGATTTTGAATAGTCTCATTGGTGGGTATTGGGTATTTTATGATTTAAAAATAGAATGTAAAATCTCCACAGGTAAGTTCCGAGAAAAGAAATTACCTTAAATACGGATTACGTAACTATCATGTCGTGGCATAGTGTTGTTATGACGTGGCGTGTTGTTATCAATTGGGTTTGCCCTATTTTTGTAAGTCATCAACTGGTGCGCCAGAACACGCATTAAAACCTATCTGTAGTTTGTTCGTGTATGACGTTCTTGCTCCTCGGTCTTGCAACAAGTATCAAGCCATTGCAGCACCACAAGACGTCACACAATGCTAAAACGTAAAATAGTCGTATTTATCCAGATTATTTCGGTGCCATTTAATTTAATGTATGCAATCATGGCAACCACTGGTCCGGAAATTCCCTGCACCTCAGAACAATATTACGACACTGGATTACGGGAATGTGTTTATTGTGCTGTTCTGTGTACCAAGGCTGAAGCTAGAGGTCAACTAACAGAATGTTTGACCTTCTGTCCAGGTAAGTAACCACTGGAGCGTGTGATGAGCTCATGATCTCTCCTGAGAATACATATCCACCAATCAAATTACGAGGCGTTGGTCATGTGATCATATACTTTTACCTGGTGTAAATTGAAGGATGTGTTAAAGGAGCTAATCTCTATTCTTTAAAGGGCGTATAAATCTATTCTTTAAAGGGCGTATAACTCTATTCTAACTAGAGTCTCAAATGGAACGATAAATACATATTAAAGATACATTATGGGAGATTAGATAACTAGTTGGCAGTACTCACTATAATAGTTAAAAACTACATAATGTAAAGGCAACTTGCTGAAAATTTCAGTCAAATTGATCCACTATGAACCGAGAACCAAGCGGATGAAAGTTCCGCTTAGCCTCGATCATCATTACTGAAGACGATAAGACAAAACTAATAGTCTTGATTATCCATTTAATCGTTAATCACGAAGGAAAGTTTTGCAGCAAATCGGACTGTAATCCAACAAATATTGCAGGCAAGCCTTGACATCGAGAGCTGATTATGGTCTGGATAAGTTAATTAATGTCTAATTAATAGTTTTTATAACATTTCAGGCCTAAAGAAAGACCTACAATAGGCCGATTTTGCTCTTGCATAATGTATGTTTAATATTATTAATACAATGACGACATTATTAATGTGACGTCATCATATATGTTTAATATAATATACGTGTTTATTTACTTATTTACAATCAATTTTTGATATCAGTTCTAATTCGTTATGTTCGGCTAATTACGCGAGCAGTCCAAAGTGAATGTAAGTTGCTTGAGACTGGTTAGTCCAGTCTACATTGCGAAAGCTTCTTGAAACTGTATAGAAGACGATTGACCTTTAAGTTAATGTACATTATATGACTAAGTGTGACGTCACACCTTTGATTTGTTGATTTCATGAGACATATAACAACTGGTCTGGGCAGACTTGGTGATTTTTAATCGTTTTATATACCCATTTACACTAAATAAGAAATTTATTATCCAGATATACTTCTAAAATATTTTTCAAAAATAATAATGATATTAATTATCTCTAATAATAGCAATAATAATAATAATAATAATAATAATAATGGACATTTATAGAGCGCCAACATCCAGTTAGATTAGCTGCGCACCAGCGCCTCTGTTACAATATTCATAATGGTGGGAAAAAAACGAAGTTTAAAGATCGCATCACGAAAACTTCGTTAAAAAAATGAGTTTTTAGTTTCATTTTGAAAATGTTTATGTTGTTTACACTTTTCAGTTCCAGTGGAAGCTCATTTCATAGTGTCGGAGCAGCCACTTTCTTTTTAAGAATCGAAATTGCAAAAGAAAAAGTTAATATTGAGAGCTAATTAACTCGCCCCGATGTCATCTCTTTCAGTGATAGTACTGGTCAATTGAATATATACTGCTGATTAGTTTGTGGTCTGACATTTCATCAAAACGCCTCATTACCATGAAACAAGAGAGCATCGGTCTTGAATATTGGATATCAGGAATTCATATTGTCATAGTAATTAAGAAGATCAATACTGATTGGAATGGACTAATATTAAATTTCCAATAGGCGTTCAACGAACTTATGTATTTTATTACATAAAATTTATAAATTATTATTATTTTCTGTGGCTGATGGGTCTAAATTACATAACTGTTGAAATGTAATGAAACAATATTTGCTTCACTTGGGCTAATGATGACGGGTGTATACCGTACAGAAGCACTACGGCCTACTCTTATTTCGAACTCCACTGTCAAGTGTTCTTTTACGTGGACACCAGCATGCACCACTCGGGACTCGATTTTTCATCCCATCCGAGGGTATAGGACCCATAAACAGAAGTTTAGTTTTTTGTGACAGTTGTAATTAAGATAGATGCTGGAAATTTTCTAACAACTTTTCTAAGTATATGAAATATTTTTTGACTTCAGTTTTTTTATTTTTAAAAATTATATAAACACTGATTTCGTGGGGGAATTTTGAATCTAACACCGTAAAGATGTAAACTCTATTTGTTTATTTTTTGTTTATTTTATACCCCTTCGTATGTCTTTCCAAGAAAAACAATTTTTGGTGTGATGGTTGTGTACACATTTTTCACACGTAGGCTTTTAGACGAAATTGAAAAGATTTTCAAAAAAAAAAATCTCAATATTAAACATACATTATGCAAGAGCTAAATCTGCCCATTGCAGGTCTTTCTTTAGTTCTTAAATGTTATCTAAATTATTAATTAGACATTAATTAAATTATCTAGACCATAATTCCTGATTAAATCAAGAAATGGATAATCGAGACTATATATTTTATCGTACCGACATTTGTAATGATGATTGAGACTAGACTCCAAATTCAATGGCTAAATTGTAGGTTCAAATTGGATCAATTTGACTGAAATTTTCAGCATATTCTATTTACATTATCTAATTTTTAACTATTATAGTAAGAACTGCCAGCTCGTTATCTAATCTCCCATAAAACAATCGTTCAGATTATGTATACAGTTTTCATTCAGTCCATCAGAAAACTTTCATACTTTCCCATAGTTAGTCAAAAACATTACATAACCAATATCACGGTTAGAATCTGATCCAGTTAGGCCTGATAGCTTATTAAAATTATAGGCAGACTCGAACCAAAAAATAAATTTGTAAAAATGATAACAATCGGGTTTAACGTCTACTCGACACAAACTAGGTCATTTCGGGACTTACACGTGGTTCAATTTTATTTCAATAGGAGTCATTAGCAGTGGGAGGAAACCAAAGGACCCAGAGAAAACCCACGAGGTTGGACATGTCACCCTACTCCTTATCACGTACAACCGGGGAATCGAAACCACGCCAGTTGACTCAATGGCAGACCTTGTGATAAAACGGGCACTTGCGAACCATTCGGCCAGCCAATCCCCCCCACTTGCTAAAGCGAGAATTTCAAATTTTTCTAAGAAAGTCAAAACATAATTATTTCTATGTCTTTTGCTCAATAGGTTATCAAATCACTATTATACGATCATGGGCATTATTTCCCACCCTTAAAAATCTATGACACAGGAAATAACAACACAATTACCTCCCCAGTTTTGCTATTGACAACATGGGGCAGCCATTTTCCAACGTTGGAATTTGAAGTTAAAAATGATATTTTTGCCAATTTCTCAGCTGGCAATAGCGAATTATAGGATTAATAGGATTATTCTTTAACAAGGTAGGACTGTTTATGGATACCATCTATTTTAAGGCTTTATTAATATTTTAATACATTTTAAAAATATAACTTGAAAATTTGCAATTTCCGTTTTAAATAAAGAAACGGTGACGAATACTGCTAAACATGACTAAATATTGTAGACATGAGGTCAGTTTAACATTAATTATTATTTATTTAAATTTTTCCGAAAATTATTTACTTTTCATTAGGTTCTATGAAATATTTTGCCGGGATAAAACAAATAAAGTTTTATAAATTATAATACATACAACCGTTACCGTTCCAACTATTTAAGCCTGACGATAAAATATTAAATCTACGAAATATTTACTGAAAACTCATTGTATTGATAAAAACTTACTTACATACCTTCAAATATTTCTTTCGGACACAGCTTGTCAGTTTTGTAGAAGTAGAATTGATTTTCTGTTATTCCAAAACTCACAAAACTGTCCCACAGATTACAGCCATATTGGTTTCTTCCCTGAACGGAAGTCACAACGCCCAAGCCACAGTCTATCTATGCCACAAACTGTTAATTTTTATCTTTATTTTCAGACTATATGAATTCACGATTAACAACGACACCATCTCGACTACCAGCCAAGAACAGGTCGGAAACCAGAAATAACAGAGATAATCACTGTAGCCGCCTGCAAGATCATGTCACGGGTAGGTACTTGTTAGCTCCATTATTCTCTCTTGACTCAACAGTGTATCTAGACCTGGGTGACGTGGTTGGATGGATCGGAAACCGGAAATAACCGATCGGAAACCGGAATTAACCAATCGGAAACCAGCAAGAGTTGTACCCTACTTCAAATCGGAACAGACTAATTGTAAGTCTCATTATCACCCTGGACGCATTGACATTCCTAGAATGGGATCTGCTGGTGGACTCGATCCGCCAAGGCGTCTTTTTGAGGGGAGAGGAGAGGGTTGGTGGGGTGGCGGTAGTAGAAGGCTTCAGAACGCCTAACACAGTTTAATTCTCTCTCTCTCTCTCTCTCTCTCTCTCTCTCTCTCTCTCTTCTTGTGTAACTGATTAGGATAATTTTTGTTTAAGGAATGGGTGTGGCAGTTATTATGGTGAATTTAGGCATGATGTCGGTTATCAGTTTACTCCTCACGTGTCTCATCCTTGACACAAGAAGACAGCTATTCATTCATAGAACAGGGTTTGTTTTTCTTTTATTCTATTTTTTTATTTTTTTTATTTCATTTGTTTCACTTTTTTTGCATTCTTTAAAATAAAAATTTGTAATAAAATGATTGTCTCAACTCAGTGAAATACCTTCTCAATGGTAATCCCCACCACTGAGAATGAAATGCACCCTCTGTGGTAATTCTCACCATTGAGAATAAAATACTCTCTCAATTGTATTTCCCATCATTGAGAATGAAATACCTTCTCAATGGTAATTCCCACCATTGCGAATGAAAAACTCTATCAATGGTAATTCCCACCATTGCGAATGAAATACTCTCTCAAAGGTAATTCCCACCACTGAGAACGAAATGCTCCGTCAATTGAATTCCACAACGTTTGTAATGAAAATAATTTCTCAAGAATTCCATCATGTTTGTGATGTAATAAAATAATCGCTCAATGGAATTCCATCATGTTCGTGATGTAATAAAATTAATATCCCAATGGAGTTCCATCATGTTTTGAATGTAATAAAATAATCTCTCAATGGAATTCCATCATGTTCGTAATGGAATGATCTAGGATAGAATGAGCCGCACTGTCCATCTCTTGTAAAATGTAGGATACCTTGCATGCCAATCGCTTGTTAAAAATATTATAATATATAGAAAAGAAAGGCATTTTATCTTTCATCCCTTTTTATGTTTTTTATTTCAGAACGTTGAAAGAAAACACTCTGATCGACTGAGGATTTCTATTGATTGAATTAGTTTAGCAATTTGCTGATTCGCTTGCTGTGTATGTTAGCCATAGGGTGTCGTGATTTATTCGGTGTCCAGTTTGACTCAGTCTCTTGAAATTCAAATATCAGCCGTATTAGCTAGGCTATAACTTGTGACGTGTGATGGGTTGACAAAGGAATACAATACGATCCTTCTTTTCTTTCCTTTAATATTTCGTATTTTATTAGTTACCGGATTTTTACTTAAATAAGCGCAAATGTAAGATTTAGATAAAGGACTGAAAGTTTCGATATAAATTTAAATCGGATAATGAAAAAGGAATATATTGAACATTTCAGTCAAATTTATTCAACCTGTGCGAAGTTATGACTGTTTGAAGAATAGCACCGTCTGGATTTCATTGCTACCGTTTTCAGGATAAATTACATTATTAACTGGCGTTCGAGATACAATTCATTCAAAATCACAACCATCCGATGGTTTAGAGTGTTGTCTATGGTCTTGTAATGTGAATTTGATACCGGAAGAAGATCCGCATTAGGCAGATTTAGCTCTTACACAATGCATCTTTAAAGGACACGGAAAATCGGGCGAAATTATGAAAGCTTTGCTAGATTTGCTTAATTGGGATTACGGAACTCATTTTACGAATTTTGTTCTTCCCTAGTACTAGTGGCCACAAGGGCATGTATCTGGGTATGGGCGTATACCCACGTGGACATTTTAAACATATTTGAGTGTCAATGGTCTTCAGGCAGTTACACACCAAAGCATGAAATTTTGCAAGATTATCTTCCCCAACTGACTCGTTATATCCATTATGATATTTCTGGCAGCGGTTCTTTTCATTATTACCAAGTTGTATCATTGTTCCGTGATCGTATTTCAGATTATCAGGTTGTTTTATTAGGATAACACTACGTTTTATTTTATTCACTATATTATATTAATATGCGCGTGTATTTTATATAGGTATAATATTTTTAATTACAATTATTATATTTTCAAGTTGTTATACTTTTAAACATTCCCATGGAAATGTGGTAGTATATTGCATCTTCTCTTTCCGTTCGTCCGTCTGTGGTCCACAATACTGTGTGAACACTCTAAGAGACTACATTTATTATCTGTTGTCTTTGAAATTTATATGTGGTTTAATTTAAAACATTTCCGGTAATTATTTCTCGATTTATTGCCCTTGTTTCACCTTTTTTTTAACCTTTTTGGCTAAATCTATCATTCGACCTGTATTAAATTTATATTCGTTATTTAGATGAGTAACACGAAGAAATCTATTGAATTTCAGCAATTTACAGTTATGGCCCTTGTTTCGTGTTGTTGAACCCTACGACTGCTCTATCCAGAAAAGTTATCATCAGATCTGTATATTTATATGCATTGTTTAAATTAGTTAAACGAAGAAGCCTATTGACTATTTAGAGTTATGGCCCTTGTTTCATTTGTTGAGCCCAGTGAACGCTCTATCGACAAAGTTATCGTTCTATTGATATGAAATGCCTATGCATTATTTAGATTAGTAACACGAAGACGCGTGTTGAATTTCACTCTGCAGACCCCCCCGTGAACGCTCTAGCGACAACCGACCTATCATTTTATCTGTATGAAATTAATATCAGTGCCTCCTAAATGCTCCTATTACCTACAAAAGAATAAATATCTAACACCCCTTGTCGACTGCTCAGACTATATACTTGCAGTTGGTGTATATTTTGTTGCCTGGCAACCTATCCTATTTCTTGTATTAGCCGAAAAATCCGATTCAAGTTAAGATTTGTTTGTGGTGAAAATAATGTCTTTTATATCTCTAATTTAGAAAACGGTGCTATATTTGTTTGTATACGGCATTTATTGGTTTGGAGTTAATCAACATTAAATTGAATTATATAAAAATATTTATTTCAATAAAACACTGGATGGTGGATGTCCGGATGTTTAGCGCGAGCGCGTTGTACCATAAGGTCTGTCATTGAGTAAACTGGCGTGGTTTCAAATCCATGGTTGTACGTGACAAGGAATAGGGTAGCGTGTCAAACCTCGTGGGTTTTCTCGGGGTCCTCCGGTTTCGTCCCACTGCTAAAGACCCCTACACGCAAGCGAATTATTGAAATAAAATTCAACCATATGTTAGTCCCGAAGTGACCTAGTTTGTGTCGAGTGGACGTTAAACCTCATCTCTCTCTCTCTCTCTCTCTCTCTCTCCCTCTCTCTCTCTCACCTTTGTTTTTTGGGGGAGCCGCGGTGGCTCAGTGAGTAAGATGTTGGCTTGCTAACCTCGATTTTACGTGCAGCGATAGTTTAGATTGGTCAATGATTTGGGCGCAGCAGGGTAAAGGTTGTTCACTATATAAGACTTCCGCTGTGTAAAATAGTCCATTTAAAGTAGCTAAGTCTCTATCTCAAATCATCCAAAATCTTCAACATTGAAAACACGAATTATTTGTCAATTTAAAACAACACTGATGCTGTGATCTTATCGGGAAACGATGGGCTTCTGATATCCAATATTTAAGACAAAATAAATATTTTACCATTGGTACACGAATCGTGTACCATAATGCGTTTCAGCCCCAGTTCTGGCAAGAGACTCGAGGAACGAGGCTAGACATATTGCACAAAACCAAACGGCGTGTGTAGACTGGAATAACCAGACGCTAGGAATTTGCATTCGATTGAGACTGCTGGCTTATTTCACGGAACATAACTGATTTGAAATTAGAGTAAAAACGGAAACGATTGAATGTAAATTGGTTTATATAAATTCATATTACAGTATTATATGAGTTTCGACTCACTTGTGTCAATTTCTAGGTCCCAAATGTTAGCGATTTAGCTTCTTTAAGGAATCGTCCTGTTAAATGATCATGTGTATCGCCATCATTACGTGCATGAAAGTAAAATGGCGAGTGTGGGCATATATTTGTCACTACTAAGTGCGATTTAAAGGTCCACAGTGAGATTCGCACTACACATAAAACTAAACCTGCGGACAAGACAAATTAAACAGGCATTGCAATAAATAAAGAACAAATATCAATTCAAGTGAATGGCCTGTCATTGAGTCGAATCATCGCTTGCACGTGACGAGGAGTAGTATAACCTGCGCCCCCCCCCCCCCCGCCACGACAAGTGCGAAGGAGCCCGAAGCGCTAGCTAATTAAAGAAATAAAATTTAACAATATGTTAGTCCCGAAATGACCTAATTTGTGTCGTACATCTTTGTAAGAATACCATAGAAGGTACGTAATGCGATCGGCGGTAGCCGATATGATATTCGAACCCGGGGCCTTCAAGTCGCGAGTCCAATGCCCTGACGACTCGACTACGACCCCTCCCCCCTTGTCTGGAGCGGCGTCTCCGCAGATGAGAAGTAATAGGCTGTCTTATCGTTCGTATAGGACGAAAACCGAGGTCCACCTGTGTATACAATTGGAATTTGAGTAGGCGAAAACGTGCACCACCCTGAAAAAATCCTCCTCTTGAGCATTGCTAATGGCGATAAAAGAAACAATATTGATACATCAATCTCAAGACGATCAAAGTATTGTCTCGACAGGACGTAAACTTTTCTTTACTACTTCGTTGTTTTTAAGGAAAGTGTGTAGATCTCTTTTTTTGTAGAGATTTGACGACTGTCATAGTGTATCTGATATGAATAGAAATAAAGTGAAATGAACAAGCCAACAGTGAGGCTGATGTCCCCCGCCGAAATAGGAAAATAATTAGAGGACACATATAAATTTATCACAAATTATCTTTTACAAAGTATTGAACAATCAAACAGTATATCTTTACTTATAGTCTAACAATCAAAGTAGGAGAGTTATTGTTTTCCAAAGTCTCGACCAATCAAATTGCGTATCGCTCTGCTTACCCTGAGCAGAAAATGCTCATTATCAAACTTAGTCAAGGTATTACTGTAATGAAACTATACACCAAGTTTCATCAATCTCACTTAATTAGAACTAAAGTTATCGTGTCCCAAAGCATCAACCAATCAAATTGCTTATCTCTGCAGTTTGAACATTCTAGCCCAATTAGGAAGAGAGTTATCGTGTCCCAAAGCATCAACCAATCAAATTGCTTATCTCTGCTTACCTTAAGCGGAAAATGCTCATCTTCGAACTCCATCAAGGCATTGACCTAATAAACACATACACCAAGTTTGAACATTCTAGCTCAATTAGGAAGAGAGTTATTGTGTCCCAAAAAGTGTGATGGACAGACAGACGGACAGACAGACAGACAGACAGACGGACGAACCCATTTTAATAGTCCCCTGCTTTCGTCGAAGGGATCTTTTACGAGCACGCCAAAGTACACACGGGGCCTTGTTTTTTCATATCATCCGAATGACTAGACAGCTGGAAGGGGAAAGCACGTCGGAAAATTCCGATGAACTTTCTCGGCCAATGCAGGGATCAAACACGCGAATTACATGAACGGGAATAACCGATTAAAATACTTTTAACCGAGCGTTTCTTTTACAGTTAAAAAGTAAAATAGGGTTACCTTATCACCCGATTAAACAACCCGGATACTCGAGCAAATGACCTCTCTCTTCTCCCAAACCCGTCTGGATGATACGTTGGTTCTTCTTACTTCACACAGCACATTTACACAAACAGGTAAGAGACATTTATATTTTGTTTTTAAAACAATATTTATTATTCAAGATATCTGAATGAGATTTGGGCACAGTCACGCTAGGTATGTGAAGTAGAACGGTTGTAGATATTGCGTTTTGTATGTCTTATTATGGATGTGACAAATGGGGTTTAGCGTCCTACTTGTCTACACCGACTGGGCTAATGAAGACTGGAGGTACATGAATTGTTTTACTTTTGAAGTCAAAGGGGATCACGGAAGATCAGTGAGAAGGACGCTGGCTCATTACACGTGAGATCACTGGTTCGATCCTAAATTTGGCGTGCACGTAAAAGAATCCTTGTCAGTTGTATCATGAATAAGGAAAACGTGTTGTCGTAACTGAACGAAAGCCCAAGGTCTTATGTACACCCACAAGAACCTTTGGCAGTCAGAATTCGATGTCATATACCCATCTAGGGATTTTGGCAGGGTGGTGGGGAGGTGTGGGGTGTTTTAATTCTGGTTACTGTAGATTGTAATGCTAGTATATTTATTCTTTATTCCTACATGTGTCCGTCCTAGTTCCCCCTTGTCAGTGATGCAAGACGGGGGGGCCTGACGAGGACAGCTGTCTAGTCGTTCGGATGGGACGAAAAACCGAGATCCGGTGTATACATTGGAATGCACGTAAAAGATCCCTTGGCAGTTGGAATTCGATATAAGAGTAGGCGATAATGCCGCTGCCCGGGCAAAATTTCCCTCATAGCACACTGTATGGCGTATGCCCGTCTTCATTAGCCCAGTTTAGGAGCAACACAATATGACGTTAAACCCCATTTCATTTCATTTCATTTTCCTACATGTGATAATCATATACACGTGTTGTTATTTCATTTCATCATAACCTTTACAGCAGCTAGTTTAAACTTGTCTTCTAGCGACTGAGACACTCCTATCTAAAGGGGTTATTTCCCTATTCTATAAATAGACATTACGAAACGTTTAATTTTTACTTTTAGAAGTTGGAGCATGGATCAGATTATTGAACTTATAATATGGCTGGTTTGTATTCTGATAATTAATATCCAAGGACATGAAGCCAATCCTTGTTCAGCGGATCAATATTATAACAGTGGATTACGGGAATGTTTTTATTGTACTGAGCTTTGTTACAAAGCTGAAGCCAGAAATCAAGTATCAGAATGTCAGGACAAGTGTCCAGGTATGTGTATGTTTTTTTAATTTGATAAAATTGCCATGGGGATCGGGTGTGTGTGTGTGTGTGTGAGAGAGAGAGAGAGAGAGAGAGAGACAGACAGACAGGGACAGAGAGGGGGTGTAACATCCACTCGAAACAAATCAGGTCATATCGGGACTAACATACGGTTCAATTTTAATTCTGTAATTTGCTTGCGCGTATGGGGCTTTCAGCTGTGGGAGGAAACCAGTTAGACAGGCGACTCTACTCCTTGACACACTCAATGACAGACTTATTCTATTAGGCCTTTTCCTACAAATGAAATTGGGTTTAACGTCCTACTGTTCTGCTCCGAACCGGGCTAATGGAGACGGGCATACGCCATACAGTGTGTTATAAGGGAAATTTTGCCCGGACAGCGGCACTACGGCCTACTCTTATATGGAATCCCAACTATCAAGGGATCTTTTACGTGCACGCCAATGTGTACACGATACCTGCATGGGTCTTTCGTCCCATCCAAACGACTATATAGCTGTCCTTGTCAGGCCCTCCGTCCTGCATCCCTGACAAGGGGGAACCACGCCGGGAAATCTGGATGAACTTTCTCGACCAATGCAGGGATTGCCCGACCTCCCGGCTAGCGAGCCAGCGTCTTACCCACTTAGCCACCGTGATTCCCCCTTTTCCTACAACCCTGAAGCGGACGGAGCTCGACAATATCAAGAAATTAAAATATATATCAATCATAATCTTTCCACATCAGTATAATAGATTACCATGACAACGAATTAGAAATGACATCAGATATAATACCTGTATAGACATACACCTGTACAAGGTGCGCACCTGTACAAATTGATTTCACAATATGAAACGGTAAACGGTAACCGCTATTGGGAATTCCCGAATCTACGATCACTGGGAATTCCCGTAGGATTCGATAAATATCACTCTCTACACAAGTCTCGCTATCCAGCATTCGACTCACTACACTGGTTGACCTAGAGGTCATTGGTCACGTGATTAACTACTTGATGAAAATGACATCTGTCAGAAAAGTTCCTTGCGTTATAAACACTTGATCAGTTTTAGACAATTTTTTGGAAAATGTCATCAATTATTACCCCTCCGAAAGAAAACAGTCTAATTTTGCATGTTTCGTTTGTAAATGTATTAGACCTTACGATCGCATTATAGGGGTAAACAGATCCACGTGTATTATATTCTAAAATTAGCACGGCGACATGTGACCACATTTCTATTTAAATATGTAATAGTATTAAATATATTATCATTTATTTGTTTTAAATCGTATTGTTTATCATTGTCCATCAACACCAATAATCTTGGTGGCGTAGTCAAATGAGCCGTTAACAGAGATAGTTTGGTCTGCAAGGGAAGACAACTCTGTTTGGGAGATTTAAGTAAACTTAGCTTATTTTGTGTTCCCAGAAAATTCTTCAGAACATTCTTAGTGCTTAGATTTTAAGTAGACTTCAGGGTAAGCACAAGCACGTTCTTATGTGTTCCAAGAAAAAACTTAAGCACAACTTTGTTCTTAAATATTGCCAATCTAAGAACAAGACCCAAGTAAGGCTTGCTTACCAACCTTAAGTCTGTTTCTGCTTTAAACAAGTTATCTTCTGACCATAGAGTCTAGAGATATTCGACGGCATTTCCTACATCTTTTGATACCAAAAAGACAATTGAAAGACGGGGAAAATCCTTTAGAAACATATTCTCGAAAAGAAGGCTATGGAAAATTTTGCGTCTACCCAGAAACCATTTTATTTATTTGCAAATTAGTAAACAACACAAACACACGGGCTACTAATTTAAATAAGATCAGACGCTCTCACATTTATTCAGCCTCTTTGCATGTGCTTGCACTTTTTTTTTTAGCTTGGGCACATTTTATACGTGTACATGTATAGGGAACATGCCAAACGCATTTAAATCGACCATTTGCCGGGAAGTTAATGCCATCATAGATCGTATCTAGTACAGTTCTATTAGTAAGTGCTTCACTTGTGCTTACGCAAGAATGATCTTGAGAATTTTCAAGAGACAGCATTTTACAAAGATTCTTACGTAAGAAAAAGTGAAGCATGACATTGTGCTTACTTTAAGAATTTTCTAGGAACCGGGCCCTGGTAACTTGTTTACAATCGTCGGTAACTCCCATAACGTATCTGTGGTCTTCTGGTAACTTGTTTACAATCGTCGGTAACCCCCATAACGTATCTGTGGTCTTCTGGGAACTTGTTTACAATAGTCGGTAACTCCCATAACGTATCTGTGGTCTTCTGGTAATTTTTGTACTATGGTCGATACCCCATGTGACGTAACACGTTCTATGATCAGAAGAGAACAGATAACCCAAGAGCTAATAACTAAATAATATGGTCATCAGACCGGAAGCTGTTGGGGAATATGTCTACAGCAGCACCTGAAAGTGCCACCCATTGGGCTGAAAATTTATTTGAAATATTAAAGCGAAAGGGTTTAACGTCCATTTCAGTGATATTATATTGTCTTGTATATCGACGACTTAATATATTTCACATAAAAGAACACAATCGCCCAATGTACGCTCGGGTGAATCCACATGTAATATGTGTAGTTTAATTATCGAGTGCGAGACATAAAAGGTCAAAGGAAAAGCATCAATGTTTTTTTAAATAATGCAAGTAATTATGTCAACATATCCTTTCCATAAGTATAAGTAATTTCCGCCATTCTCCGTGGGTAGTCGTAACTTTCTGTAAATAAACAATCTGTGACGTCATTTTAGTCCTTCTGCTCATATTCTAGTCTATATTTCTATGTGCAGAAGGACTAAAATGACGTCACAGATTGCTTTTGACGGAAAGTTACGACTACCTACGGAGAACGGCGGAAATTACTAATGTTGAAATTTACCTGTTGCAGGTAATATTGACATTCGGGTTCGGGTTATACTTATTGAAAGGATATGTTGACATAATTACTTGCGTCATTCAAAAAAGATTATGAACCTTTTCCGGTGACCTTTAAGTAATATATTGATACTGCACGAGAGCTATATCTATATACTAGGGTGGTACTTTTTACCGCCGACCACCGCCGACTACCGCCGACCAATACTTTTACCGCCGACCAAATACTTTTTACCGCCGACCGCACTGTAATGACTTTCGACCGCAATATAATTACCGCCGACCAAATACTTGTTACCGGCGACCAAATGCTTAATGATATATTCCTTGTTACCACCGACTATATAAAATTAATTAAATTATTAGTGAAAAATAAATAGATTTGGTTAAATACATTTTATAGATTTTATTATATATATGGTCGACAATCGAATACGATAATATCCAACCTAGCACCAAATTAGTGAGACCTCATATGAGACCTTACACAACTTAACATACAAACACTATCCAGCACGGGCACTTCCATGAAATACGTCATATGGGTCCAATATTTAGTATAAATAATATACGATTGGCACATTGTCATGTGAAATAATGGTATACGCCAACATCAAAGGATGACGTCACATCTGTATTTTGAATATGTTTATTTGATATTTCAGGTTATGTTGAGTCATCATCACCATCAACAACTACGAGTATAACCAGATCAAATGACACAGCCACCAAATTATCTCCTGACACCAGCCATATATGGATTAGAATAGGTATATCTTTAGTCCCTTCTATTTATAGCATTTCTCTCCATTTAACCAATTTGGAGGCGCAGTGGATCTGTGAGTAAGACGTTGACACGCTAACCTGGCGGTCCCGGGTTCGATCCCGGTATTGGCCTATAAAGTTCATCGGGAATTTCCGGTGTGGTTCCTCCTTGTCAGTGGTGCAGGACAGAGGGATAACGTATAGTCGTTCGGATTGGACAAACCCCCAGGTCCTGTGTAACCTTGGCGTGCACGTAAAAGATTTTTCATTTCATTCCTATACTCATACATACATATATACATATTGACAGAGTCTACAATTCTATGTAGGCCCTATCAACCAGTCATACTTTAACCTCAAGCGACTTTAATCGTTCGTTCGTAGGGGTTAACGTCCGGTGCTATGTAGGGTGATATCACAGGCAAATATATCCTAGGAGACACCCCCCCCCCCCAAAAAAAAAAAAAAAAAAAAAAAAAAAAAAAAAAAAAAACTTTTCCTGATGAAATGCTGGTTAATGATAACGCTAAGATATAACTTACGACACGAAGGCCGCCCATACTGACCGTCATCCCTGCCATAAAACAAGAAAGTCGCCCATCCCGCCATAAAACAAGAAAAGAAAACAAACATTATTTTTTTTGTTTTGTTTCAGGACTGATAATATCTGGAGCTGTTATCTTTGTTGCTGTGATTATAATACTACTGATATACTGGTGGATCAAACGATCACGTGACGGTGGTAAAGGTTAGTTATTACCAACAAATCAAATGAAATGAGATTTAACGTCCTACTGTTCTTCTTCGATTGGGCTAATGACGACGGGCATACGTCATACAGTGTGCTATGGAAATTTTGCCCCAACAGCCGCAATTCCAACTTCCAAGGGATGTTTTACGTGCACGCAGCAACCTCTGTTTGTCGTCCAGTTCGAACAACTATACGCTAGTCTTCACTTCTGACAAGCTTGAAACAACACCGAAGAACTATCTCGATCAACACTGGGATCGCCCCCCCCCCCCGTCCCACCCTTTACCCTCCCACCGACACATAAATGAGGTTGAGAATTACAAATAAACCCATGAAAGGCTATCAGTATATAAACAAAACCATTAGCCCGATATGAGTAGGACGTTAAGCCCATTTTAAACATTCATTAAATATTTAAAATATCAACAATCTCGTGGATTTTTTCCGGGTCCTCCGGTTTCCTTCCACTGCTAAAGGCCCCTACGCGCAAGCGAATTATTGAAATAAAATTGAACCATGTGTTAGTCCCGAATGACCTAGTGTGTGTCGAGTAGACGTTAAGCCCTATGGGTTTCTAAATGCACTGACTTTTGCGGAAGATACATACGTACAGATTCATATAAATGGTGTCTTAACTTTTTACAGGACAACACGAATTATTAAAACAACGAAATCCAGACCAATTAGATCAAGAAAATCCAAATATACCGGGCTGCCCTCAACAAAACTGCCAGTCAAACAGTACACAATTTTGTTTTAATAAATCATATAAAATGGGGTTTAACGTCCTACTGTTCTGCTCCAACTGAGTTTTCCCCGGGTCCTCCGGTTTCCTCCCACTGCTAAAGACCCCTACACGCAAGCGAATTATTGAAATAAAACATTGAACCATGTGTTAGTCCCGAATGACCTAGTGTGTGTCGAGTAGACGTTAAGCCCTTTGGGTTTCTAAATGCACTGACTTTTTTTTTTATTAAAATAGAGAACCATTTTAATTTATGTCTTCTGCGGAAGACACATACGTACAGATTCATATTAATGGTGTCTTATCTTTTTACAGGACAACACGAATTATTAGAACAACGAAATCTAGACCAATTAGATCAAGAAAATTCAAATATACCGGGCTGCCCTCAACAAAACTGCCAGTCAAACAGTACACAATTTAGTTATGCTCCAACTGGGCTAATGAAGGGGTACAGTGTGTTAAGAGGGAAATTTTGCCCGGCCAGCGGCACTACGGCCTACTCTTATATCGAATTACAACTGTCAAGGGATCTATTACGTGCACGCTAATATGTGCAAGGGGCCTCGGTACGAACAACTATACATTGCCCCTTGCCAGCGCAAGAGTCTGTAGAATTTTCACTGCAAACTTGTCCTTGTCTAAAGAAAATCGGATAAACTTGGGAGAAAACCAGCTTCAGATTTGAAAATATTTGTATGATAAAACATTCTCCAAAGGCGTCGTCATCGGCAACGCCGTTGGCAATCCGGGAACTTGAAAGTAGTTTCAATGGCCGAGGCTAGATGTAGGGTACTGGAGTCTGCCAAAGTTTGCCGAGTGCCAATACATATTCTCGGACAGCACAATGGCGGCAGGCTTCTTACATTTAGAGCGGTAAAGATCGATGTAATTTTAATTCAACATATTATCTCGGTAAATACTAGACGTAATTGAACCATTATTTTGTGTGCCAATATTTATATTGTAGTGTTGTCGTCATTAGTCGAGTCGGAACAGAACAGTAGGACGTTAAACCTCATTTCATTTCCTATTTTAGTGTCCAAGTGATGCTTATTGGGTTATATAACGTAAACAAGCGAGCGGCTTTTGACCCTATGACGTCAGACATTGATTAATCAATCAACTTAAAATAGATAACGTAAACAAAATGTCAGTGAAATGATTTGCTTTGTTTTATTACCTGGCAACCTTTTTTTTTTGTATTTACAGGTGGTATTCAAGACACTCAACCACCGTCAAGTTCTAGATTACTTATATCGGTAAGCACCATTTACTCGCCAATTTGATTAAAATACAGATCTATATTTCGTTTCGTTTTTTTATACTGTCGATGGCCTACACTACATGAAGATCTGGCAAGTTATAGTGGGAGTTCACGTCAGAGGTCAAACGAGCAGCGTTGTCGTTTCTAGTGGTTTACCCACAGTTCCGTGCATCAAAAGGTCAAGAACTCGTCGTAAGAGACCGTGTCGTTGGCTAATCCTTCACATCATTCAGAACACGTCAATTATAACAACTTTTCCAGATCCTAGTGTAGTAAAGACAAGTAAAACGAAATTTTGAACCATAAAAAACGAAACGAAATAGAATATGGGTTTTAATCAGACAGCATACTCGCCGTCCGTCATTACATAAATAACTCTTCTATCACTGTACAAGAAATAAAATAAAATAGGGTTTAACGTCCGACTGTTCTGCTCCCACTGAGCTAATGAAGACAGGTATACGCCATTCAGTGAGCTGAGGGAAATTTTGCCCGGACAGCGGCACTACTGTCTGCTGTAGTATCGAATTTCAACTGTCAAGGACCACGTTTCGTGCACGCAAATCTGTAAACGTGATCTTTGTTCATTCTACATTTTCGAGGTGACGTTAAATCATGCGCGTGCTCTAATTCTGGTTTGGCAGCTATTTTGAAAACAAAAGAAATATCGCATAGTGTGACAGTATTGGTTCTTAAATCGGGTTCTTTGATGACAACACTGGTATATACATCTAATAATAGTTTTATTCTGCTTCTTACAATATTAGGTACAAACATCGTGATGTAAACGACCGTAGAACTAACTATATGGAAGGAGTCATGACTTAATTAGCTTGGCTTAGCATGAGTGTGCTAACTCCAAAAGCTGTCGTCTCGTACCGTCTCGTGCCAAGGCGCCCGCCTAGCATGGCCTCCTGGACCCGCCTGAAGATTCGTTTCTGTTCTGAGTTTATAAACGTATTCGAGACAAAGGAGCTCATTAGACACCTGTCTAATGTATCAAGCATCATATGAAGGTTTAACATTCAATATAGTTTATCAGACAAAGAAAGTTAGATAAGACATGCCAACAACAAGTTATAGTTACGCAATGACATAAGGAATACTACCAAGATCTCCAGCCGGGTATTGATAGCGACAGGTTTATGTTACAATCACTAACACGTATTTTAATATGGCAGGACGCCTCTATGACATAAGTCATTATGTTATATACCTCTCTTTGTTTGAATAAAGTTATGAATTATATGAAATAACTTTTAAAGACTATTACAAAATTAGATACCTATGGAGTCGATAATTACTACTCTTATTAAGGTCAATGAAAAACACACGAACTTAAAAGTTATACACACACAATCGGTCACACACGCGAGTCAATGAAAAAAAAAACAAACGAGATCCTGGAATCACAAACACAGACTACTCTTATTATTCACATAAATGGTGGAATCGCGAACACAAACTACTCTAATTATCTTCTTAGACCGATTATTTGGTGGAATCGCGAACACAAACTACTGTAATTATCTTCTTAGACCGCTACTGCACTGTCGTAGCCAACTGTAGGGGTGGGGTACATATGATGCCCTTCCTCGTTCCAGTAATGTTGAGGGGTCAGAATATTCCCTGCTCCGTTTAGTTCAGCTCTTCTTATTGACCGGTAGTCTTTTCATTTTCCATACCGTCTGGCAAAACGGCGTGTTATGACATGTGCATATGAAGAGTATTAACTGCCACCCGTGCCGAAGTTTTATCATCTGCTTATCATATATATCATGGAGTGAACTTAATTAATAGGTCATCAAATTAGCAAGTGGAACAGACTTAAATTAGCTATCTAACGATATTTACATTATTATTTACATGGATAGAATTGAAATTAGGATGTCATATTGTTTTGTTTTTTTCTGAACACATTTTACCAATCTTCAATAAGATATTTTGAAAGAACTTATCAACATTAATATAACGGTTTATCTCTATAATTTTTGAAACACAACACAAAACAAGACAATACGTTCGCTCCTAATTCTGAGCACGACCCTCTCCTGGGGTTAAACCAATCCCACCTGACTGGGGTTTCACATAAACCTTTTCCCGTAACATATCGGGACCTCCCAATCTATATTATTGGGGTATCACAAAATAAAAATAATAAAAAAAATCTCTCCCGTACATATCGGGTCATCCCATTAACATTTGGGGTACTACGTTAAACACGAATAAAATCTTTCCCGTAAATATCGGGCCATCCCATTAACACTTGGGGTAATATACACGTATAGACAAAACAAATAAAAAACCTTAGAGATAAACGCGGTAATACTGTGTGAATGTTATTGGGTTAAATTTCAAATTACGATACTGTTAACCCAATTCGAGTTAAACAATCACAAAACATTTTACTTTTCGATATTAACCTATTAATACTAATTTTAAATGCCAAAATATGTGTTCAAAACAAACAATTATAATTTATAATCTTTTAAAAACAACATGACCCATTGTAAAACAAACAATATATATACAATTTTGTTTTAGTCATTTTCCTACAAATAGTTAAGGACTGTTCCACTACTAGCTTGAACGTTATATTAAATTAAGTAACTACACCATGATATTTAATAAAGCGTGATGATAAACTGCTGATTTCCCAGTTAAATTATAATACATTATAGCACAATGTCATTATTAACCGGCCATGGTAGGATTAGAAAAAGACTTACCCGTGTAGACTAATATCTGTGGCCTGTGGTCTTCTAGTGGTGGACTTCAAACGTTGCTCTGGTCAGCGGCGCCAATTAATATGTGACAGTATTGGTTCTTAAATCGGGTTCTTTGATGACAACACTGGTATATACATCTAATAATAGTTTTATTCTGCTTCTTACAATATTAGGTACAAACATCGTGATGTAAACGACCGTAGAACTAACTATATGGAAGGAGTCATGACTTAATTAGCTTGGCTTAGCATGAGTGTGCTAACTCCAAAAGCTGTCGTCTCGTACCGTCTCGTGCCAAGGCGCCCGCCTAGCATGGCCTCCTGGACCCGCCTGAAGATTCGTTTCTGTTCTGAGTTTATAAACGTATTCGAGACAAAGGAGCTCATTAGACACCTGTCTAATGTATCAAGCATCATATGAAGGTTTAACATTCAATATAGTGTATCAGACAAAGAAAGTTAGATAAGACATGCCAACAACAAGTTATAGTTACGCAATGACATAAGGAATACTACCAAGATCTCCAGCCGGGTATTGATAGCGACAGGTTTATGTTACAATCACTAACACGTATTTTAATATGGCAGGACGCCTCTATGACATAAGTCATTATGTTATAATAGCCTTTGGATTTTTTTTTTACTTTATGTGGTAACCTCTCACCTTTATATTAATGGGAATTGGTTTATTAAATGCAGTACAGTTTAGGGTCAGTTTAATTGGAAATTTTAGAAGGGAGTTATAGGCCAGTCATCAAATGACTACAGAACTCGGTCAAATGAGGTCTTGCTCCAGCCACAGTAGTGGAATCATTTCTACCAATGATAAACAGATTTTTCTTTATATTAATGGGGGGGGGGGTGGATGGCGGAATGGTTAGCACGTGCGCGCTGCATCATAAGGCCCGTCATTGAGTCAACTGGTGTGGTTTCGAATCCCCGGTTGTACGTGACAAGGAGTAGGGTCGCCTGTCTAACCTCGTGGGTTAAACCCCACTTCTGTCCCTCTCTTTATATTAACAGATGACTTAGCTGCTATGGCAACCAATCTTTATTTCTTTTTTTTCCAGTCGACTAGAGTTTGATGAAGAAAACAGCAGCATAAAGCATTTTCGGAAATATTTTTTTTTTGATATTAAATTACTTATAGAAATTTATTTTTATTTTGACTTTTAACTAGTTTATTTATGTTCTGCTTTAGTCTGATAAATTAAAGTTGTTTTTACATATTATATATATTGCCTCGATATATTGTTATATCTATAAAATAAATTGAATACATTTATTTATTTTCTGCTTTTAATAAATTTATTTATTTTCTGCTTTTAATAAATTTATTTATGTTTGGTTTTAGCCGGATAAATTAAAGTTGGGGAGGTATTTTTGATCATAAGATTATTTGATAAGTCTTTATACAGGATGATTTATTATTAGAATAGTAATAAATAGTAATTGTACTCCAGTAATTGTATATTCCAGTTCAATTACTAAATGCCATTGAAACAATTGCTAGAGCAAGACGATACGTCCCATTCAATATTCGCATTTTATTTTCTTAAGCATTCGATAAAGTGGTGACAGTTCTAGCTATAAGATTTGAAAAATAGATAATGAATATAGAATATGTTGAAAATTTCAGTCAAATCACTTTATTCGGAGCTCAGTTTTAGTTGTTTGGGCATGGACCGTGTATAGATGGACAGGCAACGCCCACGAAGTCTTTAGAATTCTGTGCCGCGGCAAAAGAGGGACCTGACAATCGTGACTAAAATAAAATTACCGCCCCTCGCGCAATTACCAGTATTATGTTTAATAAGCAAAGAAACAGAAATCAATTCATAATATTTTTATTAATCTTGCTACTCTTTTTTTTGAAACCCATACATAGATAGACTACTAACTGAGGATTGGGGTGTAAATGTATCAACACATCGTCTTTGTTTACTTCGAACGCGCCCATGTGAATCCGAAAAAAACATGCCGCGTTTTCGTTAAAAACAAAACTACTAAAACACTCTGCACAATTAATCATCATTCAGGACAGTATTATACCTGAACTTTGTTTTCATAATTTTAAAATCCTTCATACATGCGGGAATTTGGAGTATTAAGCAAAACCAAAATGCTTACAAAAACTACTAAAATATTGAAATCGATAATTTCACAATTTTCAACTGCTGCATTTGGAAATTTCAAAGTTTCAAACTGGACAAATTCGTCACTACCGGATAGGAATACTTATCGGGTTGAAAAACTACCGTGTAACTATAAGAATGCCGTAAATTCTAAGGAGGAGTTCGAGAAATTAATCTGTATAAAATCCCTCAATGTCAAAATTCATTTCGCTTGATTTGCCGTTGACATTGAGATCTCGCTGTGTCTCGCGCGAGCGGCAGAGAATCCAACCAACGGGATTCGTTGCCTGTACATCTATACACGGTCCATGGTTTGGGGAAGAACGGAATCTCGATTGTCATTGCTACCGATGTTATGACAATAAACAAAGTCTCGATTATCCATTTTTGTCTCAACCTTGGTGTATAGTTTCATAACATCATTACTTTTACTAAGTTTGATGATGAGCATTTTCTGCTTAGTCTGTGTAGAGACTTAATTGGAACACAATAACTCTCATTCTAATTTAGGTAGAATGTTGGTTAGTTTTGGTCATAGGTCACGAGATGTAAACAGGGCACGCGATAATCCAAACCCTAACCCTGGACCTAGCCATAATGCTTACCCTGACGTTAACCTACAATCACGCCAACCTTATTTACATATCAGATACCTTGACGAAAATTGGGCTGGCTTTAACAAATTGGGCTGGCGTTTGCGGAGCTGAGAAGTAATAGATTGTCTAGTCGTTCGTATAGGACGAAAAACCGTGGTCCAAATGCCTATACGTAAAATAAAAAAATAATTCTTAACAAAGGAAATTTGATGAAGAGTGGGCTAAAACGCCACCACCGTGGTAAAATCCTCCTGCTTAGCATTGCAAATACCGATATAAACAATGGCCAACATGTCAATCTCAAGATGATCGAAGTATTGTCTCGACAGGTCGTTAAACACTATTGATTTTCTTTACTATAATGTATGTCATATTAATGGGAATTCCTGATTATATTTTTAGCTCGCCTATTGATTTTAAGTTTGCTTTTTACGCAGTTAAGTAAAATAGGGGTTACCTTGAATTGTTCATTCGGTCGATATTGCTACGCTTGAATGAATTTATCGGCTGATATTGCTACACGTTTTTTGATTGGTTGTGTTTATTTGGTTGCTAGTTTTCTAACCCGTCTGGATGATACGTTCGTTCCTCTACTTCATACAACACATTTACACGAACAGGTAGGAGACATTTATATTATTAGTCTTTAGAACAATAATTATTATTTAGGATATAAGATTTGGGAGAGAGAGAGAAAGAGAGAGAGAGAGAGAGCTGTCATGAAGTGGAAAGAGAGAGAGAAATTGGGTTTTACGTCCACTCGACACAAACTAGGTCATTTCTGGACTAACATATGGTTTAATTTTATTTCAATAATTCGCTTACAAATAGGGGTCTGTAGCAGTGGGAGGAAACCGGAGGACCCGGAGAAAACCCACGAGGTTGGACAGGCGACCCTACTCCTTGTCACGTACAACCGGGGCAGTTTGGATGATACGTTGGTGCAAATTTACACAAACAGGTAAGAGACTGGATATTTAGACATTTATATTGTTTGTTTTAAAACAATATTTATTATTCCAGATATCTGAATGAGATTTGGGAACAGTCGAGCTAGCTATGTGAAGTAGAAAGGTTGTAGATATTGCGTTTTGTATTTCTTATTATGGATGTGACAAATGAAATGGGGTTTAACGTCCTACTTGTCTGCTCCGACTGGTATATTGAATACTGAAAGTATATGAATTATTTTTATTTTTGAAATCAAAGGGGGGCCACGGTAGCTGGCTCATTACAAGCGAGGTCCTAGTTCGATCCCGAATTTTACCTACATATGGATGAACGACATGGTCCCTTGTACGTACAAGAATCCTTGCCAGTTGGAATTCGATAAAGAAAAAGTGTAATCGTAATGGGACGAAACCCCAAGCTCCCATTTACACACACAAGAACCCTTGGTGATAAGAATTCTCTCAAAGCATGCTGCATGTCATATATCCGTTTTCATTAGTCTTCTAAGTAGGAAATCTAGGGGTTTTGACAGGGTTGTGGGGAGGTGTGGGATGTTTTAATAGTATATTAGTATAATTCTGGTTACTGTAGATAGTAGTGATAGTATTTTACCCTCAGTATTTTGTTTTATTTCAGAGCATATTTTAATGTTTATGTATTGTTGAGTTCAGCCTTAAACCAGTCGATAACAGCATTCGTAGGATTAAACAACAAGTGTGATCTGTTATAGTTATATAAACAACAAGTGTGATCTGTGATAGTTATATAAACAACAAGTGTGATCTGTGATAGTTATATAAACAACAAGTGTGATCTGTGATAGTTATATAAACAACAAGTGTGATCTGTGATAGTTATATAAACAACAAGTGTGATCTGTGATAGTTATATAAACAACAAGTTTGATCTGTGATAGTTATATAAACAACAAGTTTGATCTGTGATAGTTATATAAACAACAAGTGTGATCTGTGATAGTTATATAAACAACAAGTGTGATCTGTGATAGTTATATAAACAACAAGTGTGATCTGTGATAGTTATATAAACAACAAGTGTGATCTGTGATAGTTATATAAACAACAAGTGTGATCTGTGATAGTTATATAAACGTTTTGTCATTTCTTCTCCCTCTAACCTGAACAATTACAACATGTCTTCGAGAGGCTTAGACGCATCCACTTCATTCTGGTTTGGTTGGTGGTGGTCATTCCCGATTTTAAAGCAGTGAGTCTAAACTTGAAATCAAGCAGCTGAGGTGCCTTGTTTGGATGAGGTGGGTATTTCCGATTTTATAAAAAAGATATTGCGGTTATTGTACTGGAATATATTTGAGCATGATTCAGATTATTACACAGACGATGTGGGTGTTTTGTATTCTCACAATTAATATCCCAGGACAAGCAGTCAACTATAACCGTTGTTTGCCAGAACAATATTACGACACTGGATTACAAGATTGTTTTTATTGTACTGATCTTTGTTACAAAGCTAAAGCCAGGGGTCAACTATCAGAAAGCCAGGAAAAGTGTCCAGGTAAGTGTAATTTGTTAAAAGGTAATCTCTCGCAAACTACAATATTGTACAAGTTAAAACCAACGCCTGGCTCGAATACTGGACCGCCAGATTAATGATACGAGCGTCTTACCCATTGAGCCACCGTGGCTCCTATTGCCATACACAATGCTAATTCATTCTTATTCCAGTATAAAACAGTTGCTGCTACTGATCCTTCGTCTCGGTACTAAAAACCACTATCCTGGTCACAGATCTCTAAAAAGCATTGATGTGACACTATGATCAATTAGGAACTAACTTTGGCCCTCACGTTGTGTATAAAACTGTTTCCAATGATTAATTTACACTGTACCACTATGTTGTTATCACGATGTTCTACTACGACGGTTATTATACAGGAAACTACACACACAGCTATGACATTAAATATAAGCTAAATATAAGTTTTCTATCCCCTATAGCTTGGGTTTTTTCGGCGTTACGCTCTTCTTTCTAAGTCTACGATTCCTACGAACTCCAAATAATCTCTTCACCCTAGCCTCTAAGCCGAGGAGGCTGTGGGTATGATGTTCACCTAGGAACTTCGAATGATGTCACTGTACCATGAACATTCAAACCAATTCTTAACAAAATAATAGAATCGCATTGCTGTTATCACGGAAGCCTTTTCTTTAATCGTTTTTTTTGTGTAGTTTGGTTTAATAATTAAAGGGCCTTGTCCTAAAGAAATAGGGCCTTCTCCAAAAAACTATAGGGCTTTACCCGCAAAATGAAAATGAATATTCCAGTATAGTACATTTAAAAAGAAAAAAGACGCGTTGTTGCAGTATTTTGATATAGCATTAGTAATATTATATTATTTCCATTTTATTATTTCAATGTTTTAGGGGACATGATGTTTTAAATACAATATTACAAGGGATAAAGTACAGGTTTATATAAAAGAAATACGCCCACGTCACTTTTACTTCTCCATTTAAATTTACATCCAACCATAAGCTCTTTCTCGTACGTTATATTATGTATATATACACATGTCAGTCACCATGACAATTTATTATAAATACGGCCAGGTAAAATATCAATATATATTTTTATACGCACTACGGTGATTTTATACAAAGTACGTTTTGACACAGTATACTGAGACCTGTAACGGGAATTCCCGGTTCGACGGCTTTGAAATGATGTATACTGGGAATTCCTGTAGGAATCAATAAATATACTTGTTTCTTGGGACGGTTGTATTATAGTAATTTGTTTACTTTCGTCGGTAAAACACGTTATATGATAGTAAGAGAGTAGCTAGCATCCACTCTTTAAACTAAGGAGGGGATCACGGTGGCTAAGTGGCTAAGTGGGTAAGACGCTGGCTCGCTAGCCTGGAGGTCGGGTGTTCGATCCCTGCATTGGCCGAGAAAGTTCATCCAGATTTTCCGGCGTGGTTTCCCCTTGTCAGTGATGCAGGACGGAGGGCCTGACAAGGACAGCTGTCTAGTCATTCGGATGAGACGAAAAACCGAGGTCCCGTGTACACATTGGCGTGCACGTAAAAGATCCCTTGACAGTTGAAATTCGATATAAGAGTAGGCCGTAGTGCCCGTCTTCATTAGCCCAGTTTGGAGCAAAACAGTAGGACGTTAAACCCCATTTCATTTCATTTAAACTAAGGAGGTACCTGGTAATAGAGGGTGGAGGGGGTGGAGGGGGTGGTGTGTTTAGCATTTCAGAGAGATAGAGAGAAATGGGGTTCAATGTCCACTCGACACAAACTAGGCTATTTCGGGACTAACACATGTTAGTTGCCCGTACGATTATTTGAAATAATGGTACGTCAACATCAAAGGTTGGCGTCACATCTGTATTTTGAATATGTATATTTGATATTTCAGGTTATGTTGAGTCATCATCACCGTCAACAACTACAAGTATAACCAGATCAAATGACACTGCTACCCATCTTACCCAGGACACCCGCCATATATCGATTGAAGAAAAAATAGGTATATATGTGACCTCTTCTATTTATAGCATTTTTGTCCCTTTCCCATTTGGACCCGCGGTGGCTCAGTGAGTAAGATTTTGGCTCGCGATCTCTAACATGGGGGTCCCGTGTTCGATAGTCTGCCATTGAAACAAGTGGCATTGTTTCGATTCCCCACTTGTATGTGACAAGGAGTAGGGTCGCCTGTCCATCCTCGTGGGCATTATGGGATATTAGATAAAGAGTTGGCAGTTCTCACTACAATAGTTGAAAATATATACAATAAATAGAATATGCTGAAAAAGATGCTGAGCCGAGATATTAGCGATTGAATTTTAGGCCTAGCCTCGATCATCATTACTAAAGTCGGTACGATAAAATACAAAGTCTCGATTATCCAGTTTTACGTTTAATTATTTTTTTTAACAAAGTTATTTCAATTCGGTAAATATCGCAGGCTTGCGATGGCATCGAGAGTTGGTTATGGTCTGGATAAGTTAATTAATGTCTAATTAATAATTTAGATACCATTCAGGAGTAAAGAAAGACCTGCAATAGGAAGATATACATGTAGGCATGTCATCTTTGTAAATACTAAATGTAATTTAACCATTTTTGTGCCGATATTCCCAATGAGACTTGAACTTAAAATAAATACAAACATGTCAAGGATGTGCTTTGTTTTATTAGCTGGCATCTTTATGGGTTTTGGGGGGTTTTGTTTGCATTTACAGGTATTCAAGACACACAACCGCCGATGAGTTCTACATTTCTTCCGCCGGTAAGCATCATACTCGTCTTCTAGTTTTATATATAACATGGATATTTCTATCAGATTCCTACGCCAATAATTATCTATCATTGTACAAGAAATGAAATGAAATGGAGTTTAACGCCCTACTGTTGTGCTCCGACTGGGCTAATAACAATGATGTAAATAAAATACGCTCTCATTGAAGGGTGAATTAACCGTACACGTCCAGTAGTCCGGACGCCGCGGGCCTGTTCGGTAGCCAGTTTGGCACTCCACCAGGGTTTACCCGATACCCAGTTTAATTCAGTACCTACTATATCTCGTTAAACAGTAAGACATCTCAGCCATGATGACATATCTACGAGTTCAAACAACTCAGATTTGAGAAAAAAACATGTAGTTCTCAAATATCGGACATTTTTACCAAGCGTAAACAATTGTTGATTATGGGGCTGTCACACATTGACGTATAGCATCAGCGTATGCCGACGTATGAGAAATTTAGCAAACACACTGGTATACGTTGAATACGTTATGGGTACGTTTTTAACAAGTCACTAGTTATTAAATTGTTGTGCGCCATGCATAAAATTTTCAGCGTATGCCGACGTATTGCTTACACGTTAGGCGTAAGTTAGAAATACGAGACAGGTAAGTTAATTATTTCATACTTCGGAATAAGATGTCTAAAATGTTATAGTGTGACAGGCCCATTATCAGAGTTACACACAAACAATGTAAATATGATTTAGAAACCCGATAAATGAATTCTCGGCTGTTATAAAGTAGGTATTATATTAAAACAGAAACCGTAATGGATACGGTTGAGCTGGAAGGCCAGGGTCAACGAGCTTAGCCAAACAGGGTATCGGGTAAACCCGTGACACAATCTCTTGAAATTTCAAATTCCACACGTGTTCTCAATTGGGCTGTAAATGTTGACGTATTGTCTGTAAATGGTGACATATTGTCTGTAAATGGTGACGTATTGTCTGTAAATGGTGACATATTGTCTGTAAATGGTGACGTATTGTCTGTAAATGGTGACATATTGTCTGTAAATGGTGACGTATTTTCTATAAGTCGTGGGTGGCTGGTAAAGTTACCACGTTAATCAAACACGAATACACGGCGCATATCAGTCATGTTTTTTTTTCAATTTGATTTTCATCTGCCTTTGTTTTGTATTCCGTATTCTATATTTTACTTATTAAGTAAATACCAGATTTCAAAGGACACAGACAATAAAATCTGGAAACGTTCGGAAACCATCGCTGGATTTGCTTAACCGGGTTACTAAACCCATTTTACGAATTCAATTGTACGAGTGACTTGATGATCGCGACGAGTAGTTACCACTATAACTTAAGTTAGTGCTAAATGACAAGGCCAGCTCATCATCCTAGGTCAGTGCTTATGTGGAGACTTAACCTCTCCCCCAAATTCTTAAACCTAACTTACAATCTCGCCAACAATCACGTGCGCTAACCTTATTTTACATCTCAACGACCTGATAAAAATTGAGCTGACCTTAACAAATAGATTTAGCCCGATAACTTGTGCAAGTATTTAGGTATGGCTATCCAGGCACTCACTAAGTGTGAAATTTACAGACATACATCCACACACACGTTGAAATTGTAAACAAATTAGTATGTCTTTTAACAACTATCAAAGAGTTTGATGCAGTTACACAGGATGAAAGTTTGAGTCTTTTACTCCGAATTTACCCTGTAAAATATATTTATGTGGGGTCTGCTCCTTTCCTTTCCTACCAAGTTAGTATTATATTTTAAAATACGTTTATTTTCCTGCATTTTATGTTTTGATTATTATTTTCATGTTTTGATTATTATAATGGTTTCGTTTTATATCTTGCTTTTGCCGTAGAAACCTATTTTATTTTTGAGTTTATTTTAGAAAATACTGGTATATTTATTTATGTAGTGTTGTTATTGTTTATGGTGTAAATATTTGCTTGGAATTATTCAACATTTATATATAAAATATAAATACTTATTTCAATAAAGCAATAGTGAAAAACTGTCTGTATTTAGCTATCGGTTGGTCAACTCCGAGCCGCTGTGGCAAGGTGAAACCACGCCGGAAAATCTGGATGAACTTTCTCGGCCAATGCAGGGATCCACCACCCGACCCCCAGGCTAGCGAGCCAGCGTCTTACCCACTTACGTTCTATGGAGCGGAATTTCGCTTTATTTCATGCCCACATAAGAGACACAGAAAATATTTCAATGGGGATTACCGATTAGAAACACAATGTACAGAATTTTCTAGTAGGACTTCAATAGTTAAAAAGTAAAGTATATGCCCCCTTTAAGGATGGGCAGTGAATCACCTGATTTTATTACTCGCATGGTGATTGGTTGAGGTGATTGTTATAAATATGCGGTCTGCGATGGCCTGTCAGTCTTCTCTTAACTTTTTTGGTGATACGTTCGTTCCTCTACTTCATACATCACATTTACACAAACAAGTAAGACATATTTATATTATTTTGTTTTTAAAACAATATATTTTATTCAGGATATTTTAATGTGATTTAGGAACAGTCGAGCTAGGTATGTGAATTAGAAATGTTGCCATTTGTGTTTCTTATTCTGATAGTGATATATGAAATGAAATGGGGTTTAACGTCCTACTTTTCTGCAGCGACTGAGATAATTTAGACGGCAGGTATTGGAATTTTACTTTCGAAATCAAAATGAGCAACGGTAGAGAGAGGGAGAGAGAGAGAGAAAAATTGGGGTTTAACGTCCACTCGACACAAACTAGGTCATTTCGGGACTAACATATGGTTTTTAATTTTATTTCAATAATTCGCTTGCGCGTAGGGGTCTTTAGCAGTGGGAGGAAACCGATGGACCTGGAGAAAACCCACATGGTTGGACAGGCGACCCTACCCCTTGTCACGTACAACGGGCGGGGATTTGATACACGCCAGTTGACTCAGTGACAGGCCTTATGATACAGAGCGCACGCGCTAACCATTCGGTCATCCAACCCCTCCCCCCCCCCAGCCACGGTAGAACAGCGAGTAAGGCGCTGGATCACTACACACGAGGTAAATGTCCACAATATTTTTCTGTGTGGTTTACCATTGGCGAAGGTGCCTGACAAAGGCAGCTGTGGATTAGATGGGGTGAAAATCGGAGTGAAGTGAGCCTGACAAGAACAACTGTCTCTGTCTAGTCCTTTGGATGGGATGAAAAATCGAGGTTCCATGTACACATTGGCGTGCACGTATGAGGCCCCTTGACAGTTAGAATTCGATATGGAAAATCCAAGGTCTCATGTTATGTACACACACAGGAACCCTTAGCACGTGGAAACACACCGCATGACATATATCCGTTTTCATAGGAACTCTAGAGAATATATTTGATTTTGGCAGGGTGTTGGTGTGTGTGTGTGGGGGGGGGGGGGGCGGGGGTGGTCGCGGGGCCGAATATTCTCGTACCAAACAGTTTTGTTATAGAAGGATATTAGTATTGATACAGTATTTTGTTTTATTTCAGTACATATTGTATTGTGAAGTTTAAAGCCAGTCATTAACCGCATTCTTGGGATTTCAATATATTATATAAACGTTTTGTTATTTCTAACCGGAAACATTCACAACAGCAAGTCTTTATTTGAAATCAAGCAGCCGAGACGACCTACCTTAGCTTTGTTTGGTTAGTGTGGGCATTCCCGATTTTATAAGACAGACATTGCGTTTAAGTTGTACTTGAATAACTTGGAGCATGATTCAAAGCGTTACACATGTATGTTTGATTTGTATTCTGATAATAAAATTCCAAGGACAAGAAGCCAATCCTTGTTCACCGGAACAGTATTACGACATTGGATTACGTGATTGTTTTTATTGTATTGTTCTGTGTAAAAACGCTGAAGCACGAGGTCAGCTAACAGAATGTAAGACCAAGTGCCCAGGTGAGAATATTTTTTAATTTGGAGAGAGAGAGAGAGAAATGGGGTTTAACGTCCACTCGACTAACACATGGTGACTAACACATGGTTTAATTTTATTTCAATAATTCGCTTGAGCGTAGGGGTCTTTAGCAGGGGGAGGAAATCGGAGGACCTGGAGAAAACCCACGAGGTTGAACAGGCGACCCTACTCCTTGTCACGTACAACCGGGGATTCGAAACCACTCCAGTTGACTCAATGACAAGTCTTATGATACAGCGGGCGCGTGCTAACCATTCGACCATCCAACGCCCCTTTTTTTAATTTGGAACAACTTCATGTCTCTGTGTGTTTGGGAGAGAGAGAGGGAGAGACACAGAGAGACAGAGAGGGGAGAGAGAGAGCGCTTAACGTCAACTTAACACAAATTAGGTCATTTTGGAACTAACGCATGGTTCATTTTTTTATTTCAACAATTCGCTTGCACGTTGGGGTCTTTAGCTGAAGGAGGAAACCGGAGGACGCGGAGAAACCCAGGAGGTTGGACAGGCGAACCTACCCCTTGTCACGTACTACAAGGGAAACGAGGCCACGCCAGTTGACTCAATGAATGACCTAATGATACAACGCGCACGCACTAAGCATTCCGCCATCCAACCCCCGAATGATACAAGCGTCTTACTCAATGAGTCACCATGACGTCCTTTTCTTTTTTCATATTATCATCCTTCCAGTATGAAAATGCTGCTGCAGGCTGCTGCTGCACAAGTGCTTATAATCAAATATTGGCGTGCGATGGCTAAGTCAGTGTTCGATCCCGATATTGACCGAGGAATTTTATCGTCATTTTCCGTTGCGACACTAGCCGTTTGGATATGATGAAAACCCCAGCCTGCTTGGAGTACAACAGTAGAATGCTATATTGACATACAGGTTATGATGACTTGTATTTAATTGGGAATACCTGTTTCTAAATAACATACTTTGTTATGCAAAGTACGTTTTGACACGGTATACAGTGACCTGTAATGGGAATTCCCGGTTGGACGACTTTGAAATGATGTTCACTGGGAATTCCCGTAGGATTCAATATATACGCTTGTTTCTTGGGACGGTAGTATTATAGTAATTTATTTACTATCCCCTGTGGTGTATCTGTGGTCTTCTGACGTAATACGGTCTATTATAATAAGAGCGCAGATAGTCCAAGACAGGGCGCCGGAACCCGGGTACCATGGTATACAAATGGTACCCTGCCATTTTCTGGGGTATACATGTATACCCATACCCTAATGATGAAAGTCTTCAACCTTTTTACTATCCTATTTTATTATCATGTGTTTTAAAGGGTTTTATGTTGGAGTTTGGAATGCTAGAGGCGCTCTAAACAGCGTTCTTGAAATTGACAAATTTCAAAATTTTCTAGAGGTCGGGGGTAGAGCACCTCTCCCTATCTTTTGGTACCCTGGCCCTCGCGACTTTCCGGCGCCCCTGGTCAAAGAGCTAATGAACAAATAATACAGTCATAAGTCACAAAAGGTTTGACCCTCCACACCTGTAATTGACTACCATACATAATAAAAAGCAGTTGGTCACACTGGACAATATTCCTTAAAATTTGTTGAAACTGTCTAGAAGCAAAGGTGGGGGAGGAGAGAGTGGGAAACACACGATTAAAAAAATCCAACATCTAGAGCCGACATCTATTGTCTTGTGAGAGTATATCGACGACTTAAAAGAACACAATCGCTTGACTGAATCCTCGTCTTATATATATGTTTATTTGATATTTCAGATTTTGTTGAATCATCAGCCCCATCAACAACTACGAGTAGAACCAAATCAAATGACACAGCCACCAAATTATCTCCTGACACCAGCCATATATGGATTAGAATAGGTATATCTTTAGTCTCTTCTATTTATAGCCTTTCCCTGGAGGCGCAGTGGATCTGTGAGTAAGACGACGAATCCCTGACCTGGGGGTCCCTCTTGTTCGATCCCGGTATTGGCCGATAAAGTTCATCAATAATTTTCGGTGTGGCTCCTCCTTGTCAGTGGTGAAGGACGGGGAGCCTGGCAAGGGGCAACGTATAGTCGTTCGGATTGGACACACCCCCAGGTCCTGTTTAACCTGAGCGTGCACGTAAAAGATTCTTCAACAATTGGAATTCAGAGGTGCAGAACAGCAACACTATTTCATTTCATTTCTATACTTATGTATATTGTCCAAGTCTACAATACTGTGTAGGCCCTATCAACCAGTCACACGTTTACCCCAAACGACTCTAATCGTTCGTTGGTGGGCGTTAACGTCCAGTGCTATGTAGGGTGATATCGCAGGCAAATGTATCCTAGAAGATCGACCCCCCCCAACCCTTTCCTGGTGAAATGCTGGTTAATGATAACGCTAAGATATAACTTACGACACGAAGGCCGCCCATACTGACCGCCATCCCCGCCATAAAACAAGAAGGCCGCCCACCCCGCCATAAAACAAGAAAAGAAAACAGACATTATTTTTTTTGTTTTGTTTCAGGACTGATAATATCTGGAGCTGTTATCTTTGTTACTGTGATTATAGTACTGTTGATATTCAGTTGGTTAAAACGATCACGAGACGGTGGTAAAGGTTAGTTATTACCAACAAATCAAATGAAATGAGGTTTAACGTTCTACTGTTCTTCTCCTAACCTGGGCTAATGAAGACGGGCATACGCCATACTCTTATATCGAATTCGAACTGCCAAGGGATCTTTTACGTGCACGCCAATGTGTACACGGAACCTCGGTTTTTCGTACCATCCGAACGACTAGACAACTGTCCTTGTCAGGCCCTCCGCCCTGCATCACTGACAAAGTGGAAACCACGCCGGAAAATCTTGATGAACTTTCTCGGCCAATGCAGGGATCGAACACCCGACCTCCAGGCTAGCGAGCCAGCGTCTTACCCACTTAGCCACGTGATCCCCTGGACAAGCTTGAAAAACGCCGATGAGCTATCTCGATCAACACCGGGATCAACCCCCCGGACACCCTTCACCCGACAACCGACACATAAATGGGGTTCAGATTTACATATAAACCCATGAAATGTTATCAATATGTAAACAAAATCAAACCGTCATCATTAGCCCGATATGAGTAGGACGTTAAGCCCATTTTAAACATTCATTAAATATTTAAAATATCAACAATGTTCTATTGGCACTGAGAAGCCCGGTTGTACGCGACAAGGAGTAGGATCGCCTGTCCAATCTCGGGGATTTCCCGGGGTCCTCCGGGGTCCTCCCACAGCTAAAGACCCCAACGTGCAAGCGAATGGTTGAAATACAAAAATGAACCATGCGTTAGTTCCAAAATGACCTAATTTGTGTCAAGTGGACGTTAAGCGCTCTCTCTCTCCCCCTCTCTGTCTCTCTGTGTCTCTCCCTCTCTCTCTCCCAAACACACAGAGACATGAAGTTGTTCCAAATTAAAAAAGGGGGGTTGGATGGCCGAATGGTAAGCACGCGCCCGCTAACGCGCAAGCGAATTGTTGAAATAAAAAAATTCAACCATGTGTTCGTCCCGAAATGACCTAGTTTGTGTAGATGTAGAGCCCTATGGGTGTTCTAAATGCACTGTTTTTCGGCAATTTTTATTGAAATACAGAACCATTTTAATTTATGTCTTCTGTGGAAGACACATACGTGCAGATTCATATTAATGGTGTCTTATCTTTTTACAGGACAACACGAATTATTAAAACAACGAAATCCAGGCCAATTAGATCCAGAAAATCCAAATATACCGGGCTGCCCTCAACAAAACTGCCAGTCAAACAGTACACAATTTTTTTTAATAAATCAAATAAATTAGGGTTTAACGTCCTACCATTCTGCTCCAACTGGGCCAATGAAGGGGTACAGTGTGCTAAGAGGGAAAGTTTGCCCGGACAGCGGCACTGCGGCCTACTTTTATATCGAATTCCAACTGTCAAGGGATCTATTACGTGCACGGTAATACGTGAAAGTGGCCTCGGTTTTCGTCCCGTACGAACAACTATACATTGCCCCTTGCCAGCGAAAGAGTCTGTAGAATTTTCACTGCAAACTTGTCCTTGTCTAAAGAAAATCGGATAAACTTGGGAGAAAACCAGCTTCAGACTTGGAAATATTTGTATGATAAAACATTCTCCAAAGGCGTCGTCATTGGCAACGCCGTTGGTAATCCGGGAACTTGAAAGTAGTTTCAATGGCCGAGGCTAGATGTAGGGTACTGGAGTCTGCCAAAGTTTGCCGAGTGCCAATACATATTCTCGGACAGCACAATGGCGGCAGGCTTCTTACATTTAGAGCAGTAAAGATCGATGTAATTCTAATTCAACATATTATCTCGGTAAATACTAGACGTAATTGAACCATTATTTTGTGTGCCGATATTTATATTGTAGTGTTGTCTTCATTAGTGAAGTCGGAACAGAACAGTAGGACGTTAAACCTCATATCATTTCCTATTTTAGTGTCCAAGTGATGCTTATTGGGTTATATAACGTAAACAAGCGAGCGGCTTTTGACCCTATGACGTCAGACATTGATTAATCAATCAACTTAAAATAGATAACGTATACAAAATGTCACTGAAAGGAATTGCTTTGTTTTATTACCTGACAACCTTTGTTTGTTTTTTTTTGGTATTTACAGGTGGTATTCAAGATACTCAACCACCGTCGAGTTCTGAATTACTTATATCGGTAAGCACCATTTACTCGCCAGTCTGATTGAATAACAGATCTATATTTCGTTTCGTTTTTTTTATACCGTCGGTGGCCTACACTACATGAATATCTGGCCAGTTATAGTGAGAGTTCACGTCAGAGGTCAAACGAGCGGCTTTTGACCCTATGACGTCAGACATTGATTAATCAATCAGCGTTGTCGTTTCTAGTGGTTTCCCACAGTTCCGTGCATCAAAAGGTCAAGAACTCGTCGTAACAGACCGTGTCATTGGCTAATCCTTCACATCATTCAGAACACGTCAATTATAACAACTCTTCCAGATCCTAGTGTAGTAAAGACAAGTAAAAACGTAATTTTGAACTATAAAATCGAAACAAAATAGGATCTGTGTTTTAATCAGATTGCATTCTCGCCGTCCGTCAATACATAAATAATTTTTCTATCATATCTACAAGAAATAAAATGAAATGGGGTTTAACGTCCGACTGTTCAGCTCCCACTGAGCTAATGAAGACGGATATAGGCCATGCAGTGAGTTATGAGGGAAATTTTGCCCGGACAGCGACACTACTGTCTGCTCTTGTATCGAATTTGACTGTCAAGGACCCCGTTTCGTGCACGCAAATCTGTAAACAGTATCTTTGTTATTCTACATTTTCGAGGTGACATTTAATCACGCGCGTGCTCTAATTCTGGTTTGGCAGCCATTTTGAAAACAAAACAAATATAATGTGGTAACCTCTCACCTTTATTTCAATGGAAATTGGTTTATTATATGCAGTACAGTTTAGGGTCAGTTTGATTAGGCCAGTCATCGAATGACTACAGCACTTGCTCAAATGAAGTCTTGCTCCAGCCACAGTCGTGGAATCATTTCTACCAATGATAAACAGATTTTTCTTTATATTAACGGGGGGGCGGGGGGGTGGATGGCCGAATGGTTAGCACGTGCGCGCTGCATCATAAGGCCCGTCATTGAGTCAACTGGTGTGGTTTCGAATCCCCGGTTGTACGTGACAAGGAGTAGGGTCGCCTGTCTAACCTCGTGGGTTAAACCCCACTTCTGTATCTCTCTTTATATTAACAGATGACTTAGCTGCCATGGCAACCAATCTTTATTTCTTTTTTTTCCAGTCGACTAGAGTTTGATGAAGAAAACAGCAGTATAAAGCATTTTCGGAAATATTTTTTTTATATATAAAATTATATAGCTACTTATAAAAATTTATTTTTATGTTGACTTTTAAAAAATTTATTTGTATGTTGACATTTAATAAATTTATTTATGTTCGGTTTTAGTCTGATAAATTAAAGTTGGGAGGGTATTTTTGATCATAAGAGATTATTTGATAAGTCTTTATACCGGATGATTTATTATTAGAACAGTATTAAAGCGAATTATAATTGAATTTGTTATTATTTCTGGTTAGTCATCGTTAATAAAGGGATCAATAAACTATTGTCTTTTACATATTATATATTGTCTCGTTATATTTTTATATCTATAATTACTTGATAATAACTAGAAAAACCTAGTCAAAACGTCGCTCTGTAATAAATAGTAATTGTACTCAAGTAATTGTATATTCCAGTTAAATTACTAAATGCCATTGAAATAATTGTTAGAGACGTTGGCAAGACGATACATCCCATTCCATATTCCCATTATATTTTCTTAAGCATTAAATAAAGTGGTGACAGTTCTAGATACAAGATTTGAAAAAATAGATAATGAATATAGAATATGTTGAAAATTTCAGTCCAATCACTTCATTCGGAGCTCGGGGGGTTGGATGGCCGAATGGTTAACACGCGCCCGCTATATCATACGGTCTGTCATTGAGTCAACTGGCGGGGTTTCGATTCCCCGGTTGTACGTGACAAGGAGTAGGGTCGCCTGTCCCACCTCGTGGGTTTTCTCCGGGTCCTCCGGTTTCCTCGCAAGCGAATTATTGAAATAAAATTGAACCATGTGCTAGTCCCGAAATGACCTAGTTTGTGTTGAGTGGACGTTAAACCCCATTTCCCCCTCTCTCTCATCGCCCCTTTAATAGAAACATGGTAATGCACGGACTTTTTCTATTTTTTTCGTTTTCACGTATAGTGTGACAGTCAATTATTTTTTTGAATTGTCAGATATCCTCCCACTATCTCATATAACAACTTTTGGTCTTCGACGGAATTATTAGTGAGCAGAAATTCACCCGTGTATCTGTTATCGCTCGTTACTTCAGTCAGTTATTTAGAAGGGTAACTCGTGTTTTCCTTTTGCGTTCGTCACTTCCCTTTCTTGAAAGCTTCATAACGCATCTATCGTAGCAATGACTGACACCAATATTGTCCTTTAACATTATGAGAGGCCGTGAGATTGTATCATGCCAGTGAGAGTCGGTGCTTGCTTGACTGCAACAAGCGAAGGGAGTGTTTCGCATTACTCTACTTTTTTTCTCCTTTTTGTGTCTTTCAAACAATTGATTTATTTCATATTTGGAAAATAATTTTTTTCCATTCCCCTCAAGTGTTCCTTGTGCTGAACAGTGTCGGGCCTTTCACTGCGTCGAATCCCCACTTTCACCTGATACGCAATGCGATCGGCTGTAGCCGATATGATATTCGAACCCGGGGCCTTCAAATCGCGAGTCCAATTTCTGACGACTCGACTACGACGCCCCCTCCCCCTTGCCTGGAGTAGCGTCCCCGCAGCTGAGAAGTAATAGGCTGTCTAGTCGTTCGTATAGGACGAAAAAACCGTGTTCCACCTGTCTATACAATTAGAATTTGAGTAGGCAAAAACGCCACCACCGTGGTAAAATCCTCCTCCTTAGCATTGCAAATAGCGATAAAAAAAACAATAGTCATATAGCAGTCTCAAGATGATCGACAGGATTTTAAACTTCATTGCTTTTCTTTACTACTTCGTTGTTTGAAGGAATCTGTGTAGTTCTCTTTTTTTGCAGAGATTTGACAACTGTCATAATATGAATGGAAATAAAATTGGATTTAACGTCCTACTGTTCTGCTCCGACTGGGCTAATGAAGACGAGCATACGCCATACAGTGTGCAATGAGGGAAATTTTGCCTAGGCAGAGGGCACTATTGCCTACTCTTATATCGAATTCCAACTGTCGAGTTATCTTTTACGTGCACGCCAATGTGTACACGGGACCTCGGTTTTATGCGTCATCCGAAGGACTAGACATCTGCCCTTGTACCACTGACAAAGGGAAACCACGTCGGAAACGCCCGGTGAACTTTCTCAGCCAATGCACGGATCGAATATGCGCTTACATGAATGGGAATACTCGATTAGTATGGAAGACCGAACAGCTCTTTATTCAGTGTTCTTAATTCTTAGTTATTAACATTCGTACAGTAAAATTAACATTTGTTTCTAAAAATTTCGACTGTATCTTAGTTTAAGTTTTCGTGAATAAGGGCCCCGGTCTTCTAGCGGCTGAAACACGCCTACTGATTCTATAAATAGACATTAAGACACGTTTAATTTGTACTTTAAGAAGTTGGAGCCAGTAGCGGATTATCAGTGAGGCTGATGAGGCTGCAGCCTCAGGCCCAAAGATTTTGTAAAAAAAATTTTTTTTAGACTTGTCTGATACGATTAAAAACGCATAGACAATGAATGTCAGGGGGGTGGGGTTTAGGCCCAACGGGAATCAACATAGGCCCTGACCCGAAATTAATTAGGCCCACGCCATTTTAAATAGGCCCTATTTTAAAACTAAATAGGCCCTCCAGCAACTGCCGCCTCAGGCCTTGGTGGAGCTTAATCCGCCACTGGTTGGAGCATGAATCAAATTATTGAGCATACAATATGTTTGGTTTGTATTCTGATAATTAATATCCCAGTACAAGAAACCAATCCTTGTTCATCAGAACAATATTATGACACTGGATTAAAAGAGTGTTTTTGTTGTACTGATCTTTGTCACAGAGGTCAACTATTAGAATGTTGGACAAACTGTCCAGGTAAGTGTCATTCTTAATTTGGTAAAATTGTCATGGGATCAGGGCCGTAACTAGCTCAGAGCAACAAGGGGGGGGGGGGCTGAAGTTTTCTCGGGGGTGCTGTAATATTGACGGACAATGTATATCTAATTTTTTTCACAGGGGGTGCGAAACATTTTGCAGGGGGGTCGCCCCTCCCCCTACTTACGGGCCTGCATGGGATTGTGTGTGGGTGTGTGTATGTGCGTGTGGGTGGGTGTGTGGGTGTGTGAGAGAGAGAGGAAGAGAGAGTGTGTGTGTGTGAGAGGGAGAGAGAGAGAGTGTGTGTGTGAGGGAGAGAGAGAGTTATCATGTCATCTCGACATGATATAGTGGCGTAAGATAATTACAGCCGGCGACAGTCATTGACGAGTTACATTATAAAAGTTGATGCTAACACTGGGATCGAACCCTGGACCCATTGGTTAGTGATGATATTTGCATTTATTATCAAAGGAAACCCGCATTATTTATGTTACGTCTTTCTTGTAAATCATCTTTTTATTCGTTGTCAGCGAAGCCTACATCATTACAGGTCCGGGACGCTTACGGCTAGCACCCGTATCCATTCACTTGATTTGATAAGTTTATGTCTTGCAATGCCTTGTCCCCAGGTTTGTTTTGTGTGTAGTGTTGTCTTCCTGCACTTACCAATATAAGAATCAGCTACGATATTGTAAAACTTGAATATCTTACAGGAATACGTATCCAAAAATAAATGCTACCTCGTATTCTAATGGTACGCTTTACTTTTTCTATTTTATCTCTTTGTGCTTTGTTTTTTTCTTGACAGAATTTTCAAAAACACTGTCTACATTTTGCAATCTACTGTGCGCGAATCACATACAAACAATTACACAAAACAAATCTACCGATAAGACACAATACGCAAAAATTAGAACACATTTCATATCAGATTAATTATCCGGGGGAGGGGGGCTAGCCGCAAGCGTCCACTGAGCTGTACAGTCCCGGGCCTGGATTTGAGACCTGGCGAGGCCCCCCATTCCAACCAACTTACATGGCCCTGGTCCTTAGTATAGGCTTAACACAAGGCGCCCCTAGCCTTCCCTGGATAACCCCCTTTTGAATCCTGCTTATAATCCCTCGTCTAGTCAAATGATCTCAAAGATTACACATCTGGCTATTGACAGATTAAGCTTTCAGTACAGAGTGCTTTACAAGACAAATTGCATTACGTAACGCGGGCCATTTATTGGAAATGAAATGAAATGGGGTTTCACGTCCTACTGTTCTGCTCCTAACCCGGGCTAATGAAGACGGGCATACGCCATACAGTGTGCTATGAGGGAAATTTTGCCCGGGCAGCGCTATGGCCTACTCTTATATCGAATTCCAACTGCCAAGGGATCTTTTACGTGCACGCCAATGTGTACACGGGACCTCGGTTTTTCGTCTCATCCGAACGACTAGACAGTTGTCCTTGTCAGGCCCTCCGTCCTGCATCACTGACAAGGGGAAACCACGCCGGAAAATCGGGATGAACTTTCTCGGCCAATGCAGGGATCGAACACCCGACCTCCAGATATTTTAATCATCTCTGCTTTCATGTGTCAAGATGGCACGAGAATCATCCATAACATCTGCTACTTTGTAGCATCATAAATTAAAACGTCAAACAATTTTAGGGCTTCTAAGCAGTGGGATTATCTAGAGTTGATATTTTCATTTGTTTTCTTAATAAACTGTTATGCATTTACTGAATCTATAAATTCTATAAATTATTATTTAGACAATTCAGTCACATGACTACCAGCCTATAATACATATTTCAATAATCAATCGGGGTTACATATTTGAAAGGATTTAAGATTGAGAAATTTGATATTTCTTCTTTAAATGACATCTAGAAACACGGTTAACCAGTCATAACAAAACACAACACAGGGTAAATATGGATATAACCAATTTTCTGTTGTTTAAGAACGACGAGTTAGTTTTTGATACTCTTACTGTTAAACATGCATTATGCAAAAGCTAAATCAGCCTATTGCAGGTCTTTCTTTAGGCCTGAAATGTTTTCTAAAGTATTAATTAGACATTAATTAACTGATCCAGGCCTTAATTAACTCTCGATGGCATCAGATTTCTCCGATATTAAATAGATTAGAATGGTTCAGCGATACTTTGATTTAATCAAATATGGAGGACAGAGACTTAGCTTCGATCAACCAGTACGGTGGTTGAAATTATTGCACACGTCGGTCAAACCGTCAAAGGCTAATATCTTCGCTTGCAATAGAGTAATTTGAATGGAATTTTCAAATTATTTATTTTACATCATCTACTTTCGAACTATTATAGCACAAATGGCTAGTTCTTTATCTAAATCTTACATACTGTATCTTTAATTTTATATGATAGAGGTTAGTTCGAATGTTGGTGACATGTTTAAACTAGTATCAATATATCTAATGATAACGATGTTGGTGACGTGCCAAACATAGTATCAATATATCTAATGATAAGGATGACTGTAGATCTGACTTCTTTATTTTAACAATAGAGTAACAAATATTAAATGGCATTACATGTATAACAATCAGTACAGGACAAAGGGATATCATTAACATATTACGACCATCGTCTTAATTCACACCTGCTTCCATTGTTACGGGTATAAACCACAGTTCATGTTACACGTTTATATAAATGTGAGTAATGGATAATCAATAACGCGACACGCCTGTAAATACTTTAACTGATTTACAGGTTATAACATGAGTCATGAATACTGACGTTTGGATGACCTATATATAATAATATTGGGAATACCTGGTTGGAGTTGTTGAAATATATCACAGGTTACCTGTAGCAGATAATTGGGAATACCTGGTGACTGTTGAACAGTTTTAGTCAAACCGGTGTCTATGACAGTAGGAGGACAGGCGACTTAAGCTTGCGACCGAACCCATGCCACTTGATCACTCGGACACCTAGCACCGCGGGGATCCGACCATATGATCTAAAGCGCATGCGTTAGACCACCCGATCACCCTACCCCCTGTCACCAGTAAACGACTGAAAGTTTTTTTTTTATCTAATACCGTATGTTCGCCATTTCGGAAATATATTGTGCGCACGAATGGTCCAGTATGGCGTTAAACCCCATTTTTTTGCGGACGACTGGAAACGAATTACGGACATAATCCTTTGTGGCATTTAGCAATTGGAAACATAACAAAACTGACACAGTTATATGGGACAACAATCACTGGTTTATTATACACAAGCACAACGTTTCGATAAGTATTCTCTTATCGTTATCAATGATTATCTATACTAGATGAAATATTGGACTGGACTCGCATGGCGTATTTCATTTAAAGCACGTGCGGGATAGTGTCAATATTTTAAGTTGTTTAATAGAATTACGGACAGTCTATATATGTTGTGTTTCAAAGACCACAATTGTACGGAAGCGTATTAGGGTCAAATAAATAAATACAAAACTTATTAAGAGATATTAAGTCCTAATTAGGACATGGTAACTCCTAAGTAGGAGATACGGTTTTTAATGGAATTTTGCTATCGATATTCACCGTTACTATATCCTATTGACGAGTTAGTTTCTTATTATTAGGACTTAAAATACAGATGTGACGTCATCCTTTAATGTTGGCGTCTTATTATTTGAAATAATGTACAGGCAACTCTTCAATCGTACATTATCTATACTAGATGAAATATTGGACTGGACTCGCATGGCGTATTTCATTTAAAGCACGTGCGGGATTATGTCAATATTTTAAGTTGTTTAATGGTCTTGAGCTAAAGACATCGCGTAATATATTGAAACAACACTCGGCTGACGCCTCGTGCAGTATCAATATATTACTTAATGTCTCGCCCTCGACCATTCAACCATACTTAATATATCCTAATTGGGATATAATATTCCCTAGTTAGGATTTGTTGATAATTGCTCAATCATTTATTTGACCCTAATACGTTTCCGTAGAATTGGCTTTATTTTTATCTGTTTCAGATTATATGAATACACCAACGAACGCCTTGAATATACCCGAAGTCATCTCCTAATTGAAGTTATTGCATCCTAATTCATATATCCTATACATTATCTCCTTATTGGGATGTAATATCTCCCAATGGGACTATTGGGAATTATTTGAATTATTTATTTGGCCCTAATTCGCTTCTGATTTTTTCAGATTATTTGAAGAAATCCACGACAACCTTGACTACCTTGCCACCTGTCACCAGCAGTACTGTTGTTGGATGGATTAAAGATTACCCCACAAGTATATAAAAAACACCAGAACCCACTTGTTTTCAACGTAGGCCTACTGATGATTCGTAGAATATTCATCCGAAATGGGGTTTAGCGTCCACTCGACACAAACTAGGTCATTTCGGGACTAACATATGGTTTAATTTTATTTCAATAATTCGCTTGCGCGTAGGGAGCCTGTGTCGTGACATCTGAGCATAGGCTCCCTGTGCTACGATTACACATGGGTTCTGGTTGTGTACATATAATTTAAAGAAACTATTGAAACAAAATGAGAGGAGAAATTCAACCACGTACAAGGCAGTACTCTCATTAGAATTTGACAATTCGCCTGTAAATAGTGTTGAATTCCGGCGATCCACCCAGAAAACATCTCGGAGCATCGGTGGGGCCCCGTCACTAGGTCACCGGCTCGAGGCGCGCAACTGAGATTTTTGTGGGGGCCCCTCTAATGTGGGGAGCCCTGGGCCCCATGGTGCCCCGTGGTTAATCCGGCGCTGAGTATAATTCATCGGACGTTATAATTGTAATAAACAACAACAACTACCCTGATTGAAACTAACAACATGTTTTGTTTTGTTGTAGAAATAGCAGTAGGAGGCCTAGTTGGTACTATTATGATCATTATAATTTCTATAAAACTCTGTAGGAAAAACCCTGAAAGGACTCCTAGGGTGGCAGGTCACGTCAACATCATTTATATTCTCTTACCAGTCATCTCTTCTAGGAATCCAGGTAAACAGAAGAAAATGTCCTTAAAGATACATTCTGTAGACCTAAATATGCCTATTGCTGGTTATTGTGTGGACATTAAATGTTATGTAAATTATTGTTAAGACATTTTATTCACACGACAAGCCTATAATTAAGCTTGTCGATCATCGGGTTGTGGAAGTTTACACACCCGCAAGATTAAAGATACATTATGGGAGATTAGATACCGAGTTGGCAGTTCTTACTATAATAGTTAAAAACTAGATAATGTAAAGGCAATTTGCTTAAAATTTTATTCAAATTAATCCACTATGAACCAATAATTAAGCGATTGAAATTTCCGCCTAGCCTTGATCATCATTACTAAAGTCAGTACGATAAACAGCATAGTCTCGATTATCCAATTAATCATTAAATCGTGAAGGAAAGTTATGCAGTAAATCGGCTCATAATCCACTAAAGATCACAGGCTAGCGATGACATCAATAGTTGATTAAGGTCTGGATCAATTAATTAATAATTTATATACTATTTCAGGCCTAAAGAAAGATCTGCAATAGACAGATTTAGCTCTTGCATAATGTATGTTTAAAACATTTAATTCTCTGTATGTATGAATATAAACGTGTAGTATATATCCATGGCTAAGTGGGTAACACGCTGGCTCACTAGAATGGAGGTCGCGTGTTCCCTCCCTGCATTAGCCGAGAAAGTTCATAGGGATTTTCAGGCGTGGCTCCCCCTTGTCAGTGTGCGGAACGGAGGGCCTGACAAGTACAACTATCTAGTCGTTCGGATGGGACGAAAAACCGAAGACCGGTGTATACTTTGACTTGCATGTAAAAGATCCCTTGGCAGTTGGATTTCGATATAAGAGTAGGTCATAGTGCCGCTGCCCGGGCAAAATGTCCCACATAGCACACTGTATGACGTATGCTCGTCTTCATTAGCCCAGTTGTAGCAGAACAGTAGGACATGTAGTGCATTGATGTATGCCGCTACCCGGGCAAAATTTCCCTCATAGCACACTGTATGGCGTATGCCCGTCTTTATTAGCCCCAGTAGTAGTAGAAAAGTAGGACGTGTAGTGCATTGATGTATGTATGCGTATACACGTGTAATATAATTATGTATACACGTGTTGTATAATTATGTATGGGTATACACACGTGTATATGATGTATGTACGGACATGCATAATGTTGTGTATATATATTATATATTTTTACAGGGCAACGCCATTTACTAGAACCGGAAAACACAAAAGGACAGGATTGCTTAAAAGAAGTCTGCACATCGAATGGTAAAAACGTTGATCTTTGTTACTTAATTCAATTACCATCTCCACGGTCCGTCGTTCATAATGCCATATAAACACATCCTCTGATCTTGTTAAAAGTAAATTAAATATGTTGTGTATGGTACGAATAACCCTGCTGTAGCGGTTATTGATAATAACTTCCAGAGTTATTGTCCTTTTTCACTTTGACTAATCTAATTATTTGATATCCCACCTGTTTGACATTGTTAATATAGTAACCCAGACTATTGTGCAGTTACAAAAATTAACGTTGATTATTTCTAGAGTTATGACCCTTGTTCGCCTTGTAAAATCTTGTGAACGCTGAATTTTGATTTTCATTTAATGAAAGATTCACAAAGTGCAACGTGGACTGTTCGATGCCTTGCAAATATAGTTCATTGTCATTGTAATTTTGGAAGCCAGAACATCATATATAAATAAAACGGGGTTTAACGTACTAATGAAGACGGGCATTTGCAACGAAGTGTGTTATGAGTGCAATTATGACCAGACAGTGGCATTTGCCTGTACTCTTCGTCAAATTCCAACTATCAAGGGTTCTTACAAATGCAGCATGTAACCGGACCTCAGTTGTTTCCCCAATCCCTTTACCCTGTATCGCAAACTAATGCAATCCATGGTGGAAAATCCCGGGGGATAGAACCCGGGACCTTCTTATTATTCCTATAAATTAAAAATAAAAAAACCCAGGAAAATAATTAAAATTTAGTAATCGATAAATTTACAAATTAGCAAACACCTCTTTTTCCATTTAGATGAAAAAGTCGGTTGCTATTAACTAAAGGTAAATAACGCAATAAAGCATCACTGAAATGTTTCGCACCTAAAATTCTGTGATTCGTTTTGTATCCTGGCAACCCTTGTTTTTGTTTTCTGGCAACTCTGGGTTTTTTTTGTATTTACAGGTATTCAGGACACTCAACCACCGATGATTTCGTCAGAGCGTACAACGGTAAGCCTAATTACGAACCGTGTAGTTGTAGAACAATAATGATATTTATATAGAGCACATTCTTCTCGTTTAGGGGGGTTGGATGGCCGAATGGTTAGCGCGTGCGCGCTGTACCACAAGGTCTGTCATTGAGTCAACTGGCGTGGTTTCCAATCCCCGGTTGTACTTGATAAGGACTGGGGTCGCCTGTCCTACCTCCGGAGCAAAACAGTAGGACGTTAAACCCCATTTCATTTCTGTCCTACCTCGTGTTTATTTTCCGGGTCCTCCGGTTTCCTCCCACTGCTAAAGACTCCTACGCGCAAGCAAATTATTGAAATAAAATTAAACCATATGTTAGTGCCGAAATGACCTAGTTTGTGACGAGTGGACGTTAAATTCTCTCTCTCTCTCTCTCCTCGTTTACAAAAAAAATCCTGCTGCCAATTATGAGTTTAAACAGACGAGTTTTTAAGCCCCACTTGACAACAAGGTTGAGAAAGTCTTGTGTCTATAAAGATAATACCTTCAAGTTGATAGGATTCCCAGATAGTAAAGTTGGGGCGTGTGGGGAGTTGGGGTAGGGGAGTGGCGAATGATTTAACGTGTGTACTTACCTGAAACATGACTTAGTAGATATGATTGTTTCTGAAAAATGAAATAAAATGTGGCCTAGGATCTGGAATAGAACTTGCTGCTTTTTAAAATTCAATCTGATTAAAACACAAATCCTATGTCGTTTCGTTTTTTATAGTTCAAAATTTAGTTTTACCTGTCTTTACTACACTAGGATCTGGAATAGTTGTTATCATTGACGTGTTCTGAATGATGTGAGCTATTAGCCAATGAAATAGTCTGTTACGACGAGCTGTAGGCGTGTTTTGCACGGAACTGTGGTTAATCCACCAGTAACATCAATGCTGATTGGTTAATCAAATGTCTGGCGTAATAGGTCAAAAGCCTCTACAACCTGTTAGATCTGCATGTAGTGTATGCAAGCATAAAAATTATAAATTATTGTCCTTGTAAAATTTCACGGTACAAATATACCGCCATTTTGCTGTTAGGCCCTATTTGTATGTAAGTGAAATGACATGAAATGAAATGAAATGAAATGGTGTTTAACGTCCTAATGTTCAGCTTTTACTAGACTAATGAAGACAGGCATACGCCATACAGTCTGCTATGAGAGAAAGTTTGCCCGGACAGCGCATGACCTGCTCTTATTTCAAATTCCAACTGTCAAGGATTCTTTTAAAGCGATACTCCCGGTTAGTTCCTCATCATAACTTTCATTTTCATTTTATTTTCAGTTATAGACTGCTGATGTTACGACCAAAAGTGCAGTAGACCAAAACTTCTTTCAGGGCATATAATTTGGCATTTTATTTATTGTTTTTGTTATCTTCTGTAGAGTATCTGGAGTTTTTATTTATGACCAAAAGACCAGTGAAACAAAAATATTTTACGGGCATATTATCTTATTAAATATCTTATTAAATGTAACCAATTTCTTAATTAATCGTCATCTGTATAAACCATGATTTTGTTAAAATAAAAATATCTTAAAATGCGCCAAACTTTAAAATTGATTAAAGTACCAAACAAATAGATATTTATTTGGGTAAAAACGAAATTGTCGTCATAATATGGTGGACAGATAGAGCCAGTGGAATCTACAGTTAATAGATCAAGCCGCAAATACTACCAAGCATAGGCAGCTCCCGTTTCATGGAATGTGTTATGTGTTATGTGTTATGTCGCATCACAAATCGATTCAGATATATTTAACATATTTAATATGACATCTGATTTAAACATACATTATGACGTCACATTAATAATGATGTCATAGTATTAAACATACATTATGACGTCACATTAATAATGATGTCATAGTATTAATCATACATTATGCAAGAGCTAAATCTGTCTATTGCAGGTCTTTCTTTAGGCCTGAAATGTTATCTAAATTATTAGACATTTATTAACCTATCCAGACCATAATCAACTCTAGATGACATCGCTAGCCTGCGATCTTTAGTGGATTATGAGCCGATTTACTGCATAACTTTCCTTCACGATTTAACGATTAATTGGATAATCGAGACTACGGTGTTTATCGTACTGACTTTAGTAATGATGATCGAGGCTAGGCAAAGATTTCAATCGCTTAGTTCTCGGTTCATAGTGGATCAATTTGACTGAAAATTTCAGCAAATTGCCTTTACATTATCTAATTTTTAACTATTATAGTGAGAACTGCCAACTCGTTATAATCTCCAATAATGTATCTTTAAATAAATTGTAACCGTTGTGTAAGTAAACTAGAGTAATCGCAAAACACATTAGAAGAGCACAATTTGATGGGAAACAATCAATGGTTGACGAGATATCCTCTTCTTGTTATCATTGTGCTTGATAACGGTAAGATGCCAATCGTTGAAACATCGTGATTTTGGTTCCAGACAAGCTGAATCACCAGTACCCTCACCCCCTTTACCCACCCACCCGTGATAAATTTTTATGTATAGGAATACAAGAGAAAGAGAGAGAGAGAGAGAGAGAGAATACGAGAGAGAGAATACGAGAGAGAGAGAGAGAGAGAGAGAGAGAGAGAATACGAGAGAGAGAGAGAGAGAGAGAGAGAGAGAGAGAATACGAGAGAGAGAATACGAGAGAGAATACGAGAGAGAGAGAGAATAAGAGAGAGAGAGAGAGAGAGAATACGAGAGAGGGAATACGAGAGAGAGAATACGAGAGAGAGAGAGAGAGAGAGAGAGAGAGAGGGAATACGAGAGAGAGAATACGAGAGAGGGAATACGAGAGAGAGAATACGAGTCAGATGATTTGTGTCATGTTGGGCTATTTGTGGTTATAAAGATTAACATCTTTAGTTCGTAGAGGATACAATGGAGTGAGAATTATCAATTGGAGTTATCCCACTTCACTTCGTAACGAAATAAAGTAATGGAAAATCATAAATTTTATGCGTTTCACGAAGATCGGGTACATCTTAAAATTTAATTTAAATAGATTTTAGTTAAAACTGCTTGCGTCCGCGCAGTGCACATTTCCGGTGCGGGCACTTACGGTATAAACAAATAGGCTTCGGAACTGAAAACTGTTGACAGGTTAAACTAACGGTTACAATATCAACGGTAGAATTTCATACGTTGTGCAATATTTGCACGTGGACAGTCGTAGAGATAATGAAATAAATGCGTTAATTGTTTATTATTCGTTTCAAACTGTATTGGTGGGTTGGCTTTGAACTGCTTTAGTGACCTTGGCATTGATTTACTCGCAGCCTTCAATGTAAATACTGCATATCGATAAACTAAATCGCTTGAATTTCGTAGTGGGAATTGTGGTCCGGCTCTCACCACTTCAAAAGCTGTTCCTTTCAAAACGAATTAGCAGCCTGTAACGGTGTCATATCGAGTAAGAGTATGAGCTGGCAGGATTTGACATGTGTTTCTCCGTAGTTTGACCAATATCAACGGTTGCTCTTTCTTTGATTGCTGATTCCATTGTAACGTGATTCGTCTCAGCTTGTTATGAACTGGGCTCATGCAAATCGATGCCTGAAACACGCTGGAGGGTACAGGCATCCACAACTGGAAATGTATCATCACCATCCACACCTAAACCAGGTAATTTTAACGTCTGAGATAAAGATATATACACAATATTAGTGCAGTCCTAGAGTAAAGAATTACAAAAATAACCAGAGATAACACTAGACGATCACAAGGCTAATAAAATATGTAGCATTGAAGAGAGTATGCGTCAAAAGTTGGGTGTGGCTTTTCACATCTAGCCAGCCACGCATAGCATAGCACATAAGGTATAGTGTTACATTGACACCCATCAACGTTAGGACTGTTTTATGCTTATTAGGGGATTATTCATTCGCCGTCTTAAATAAACATATATAATGCATTTAAAATAAACTATAAAATCCCCTAATATATATTCTTTAAAATACTTAAGAATTAAATAAAAATATTTGTTCATATTTTATTTAATATCCACACTGTTACAATACATAATATAAGAAGTGTAATTAGAAACACGGAATATTTGTGCTTTAATTAGAAACACGGAATATTTGTGCTTTAACAGTCCTTGTCTATGGATATTGTAACATAATCAAAGGATCTAATACTAACGATGACTGTGGATTTAACTTCTTTACTTTACAAGGAACACGCATTAATAACAACCAATACAAGAACATAACATTTCACATTTTGTAGTCGTTTCGGCCATCGTCTTAGTTCACGTCTGCCTCCATTGTGGTGCACCCTGTTCTGCCTTGAGCTTCCCAGCTTCTCTCTTCGTGGACAACCACAGCCCGTCTCTTTTATATCCTATACCTAAGATTAACTCCTTGATAATCATATGACCGACTACATAACAATTGATGTGTCATCTTATTTGACCACTATTTGATCATTTACATACAATATGCTCCAGTATCTCCAACTCATAGCTAGAAACCATAGCTGCTTAATATTATGTAACAATAGCAACTTTTTCAAGTTCATTTTAGGAATTCTATAAGAGTTCCTCAAATGCTAGAATGTTTGGGGAATGTGGAAGACACAGTTTGTGCTGTACATTGATGCAACCTCTTGATTTTCCATTATTTCCATTTTGTCATCAATATGATGAAGATTTATTTCATTTTATGTTTGAATGCATAGAAACGAAGAACATCAGAGATGTTTGTTTTGAACGTGTACATTTGGTAAATATCAGTCGTTGTAGAGAGAGAGAGAAATGGAGTTTAACGTCCACTCGACACAACTAGGTCATTTCGGGACTAACATATGGTTTAATTTTATTTCAATAATTCGCTTGCGCATAGGGGTCTTTAGCAGTGGGAGGAAACTGAAGCACCCAGAGAAAACCCACGAGGTTGGACAGGCGACCCTACTCCTTGTCACGTACAACCGGGGATTCGAAACCACGCCAGTCGACTCAATGACAGACTTTATGATACAGCGCGCGCACGCTAACCATTCAGCCCCCCCCCCCAGTCGTTGTAACTTTCTAAACCTGTCAAATTCTAGCGATCCTTGTATATTATTATCGATCTCCCATTATATAGAAAGCATCACTAAGTGTCATATATAAATTACTGTTGATTGTTTGTTAATATAGCTTAATCATTTGCATATTTGTACGAAAGCCCAGAAGGCCATTCCAAATTCCAAATGCGAAATTCCAAATTCCAAATTCATGTCTTACCAATCAAATAGCAAATCGTCAGCCCCCCTCAATTAAACAGATTAAAATTTGAGTAAAATTGTAATTTTACACAACTAATTAGTGCTAGTTTACCTATCTGATGCCTGGGGCCGGATAAACACCCGTTCCAAATTACTAGATTCCAAATTCCAAAGTTAACCCAGATTTTCCTGCGTGGTTCCCACTTGTCAGTGATGCATGACGGAGGGCCTGACAAGGACAGTTGTCTAGTCATTCGGATAAGACAAAAACCCAAGGTCCCGTGAACATATTGACATGCACGTAAAAGATCCCTTGACAGTTGGAATTCGATAGAAGAGTAGGCCGTAGTGCCGCTGCCCGGGCAAAATTTCCCTCATAGCACACTGTATGGCGTATGCCCGTCTTCATTAGCCCAGTTCGGAGCAAAACAGTAGGACGTTAAACCCCATTTCATTGCATTTCATATACTGATTTAAACAGACATTTTGAAATTTAATAACATTAAGACACGTTGTATCAGTTTTATTAATTTGTCACCAGATTTGTTTATATTATTACATGTTAAATATATCAATATTGTAAACAAACCTCCAATTGTCAACATGTTTGTAATAGATCGCACCTTTTGAAATATAATTGTACATCTCATTTTACAGTTGATTCACAAGTTTTGATCTTTGACCTATATTCTTCTTCATCTGGAATGTATCTTAATGGGAATTACCGATTAGGTGCACAATGTACTCGGCGTGTTTTTAACTTCTAGAGTTTAAAAAAGGGGACATTTAATTTTGTGTATGGCGTGGATATCATTATTGCTGGCTTTGATTGGTTTAAGAAGGTGATCATGTGACTTGGGGTTAACTTTACCCCTACCTGCTTGAATGACACGTGTGTTCCTTTACTTCAAACAGCACAAACAGGTAAGACATTCTTTCGATTGGGGGTATGTGATTGGGACGCTGGCTCACTAAACACAAGGGGGAGAGTCGTCTGTCCAACCTCGTGGGTTTTCATCGATCCTCCGGTTTCCCCCTACTGCTGAAGACACCTACGCGCAAGCGATTTATTTAGATAAAATTGAACCATGTGTTAGTCCCGAAATGACCAAGTTTGTGTCGAGTGGACGTTAAACCCCATCTCTCTCTAATTGTGTGGTTTCAATTCCCGGCATGTACTGTCAAGGAGTAGGATCTCCTGTCTAGCCCCTCCCCCACACTCTCCCTCTCTCTCTCTCTCAGTACATACGAGGACCCTACGTCGACCCCCAAAATGTCTACGTCATTTTTCAGCATGCTTTACTCTTAGGTAGTGCAAAAAAGGGAGACCTGACAAGGGGAAACGTGTAGTCGTTCGAATGGGACGCACACCATGACCCCGTGTACACATTAGCGTGCACTTAAAAGAGTCCTTGCCAGTTGAATCATGGATAAGGAAAACGTGTAATTGTAATTGGAGGAAAACACATTTGTATAATTCTTGGTACTGTAGATTGTAATGCTAGTATTTGTTTTATTTCAGGACATATTATTTTAATTTCTGTGATTAAACTACAAGCGTTACCTGTGATAATTATATAAACTATTTGTTATTTCATTGCATCATAACATTTACATTAGCTAGTCTAAACCGGTCTTCCAACGGCTGAGACATACATGTGCCTACCTAATTGTTGTTTGTTTGTGCATGGGCATTCCCGATTCTTTAAATAAACATTACGTTTAATTTTTACCTGTATAACTTGGTGGAGCATGAATCAAATTAGTGTCCATACATGTTTGATTTGTTTTCTGATAATTAAAATCCAAGGACACGAAGCCAAATATATACTTTGTTTACCGGATCAATATTACAACAGTGAATTACGGGAATGTTTTTATTGTACTGATCTTTGTTTCAAAGCCGAAGCCAGAAATCAAGTATCAGAATGTCAGGACAAGTGTCCAGGTATGTGGAATTCTTAATTTGTGTGACGAAAACGACTCGTGAGCTAATCAAAGCAGCCGGTAGTTATTGGAGCTGTATAGGAATTCCTCGCAAACTATAATATTGTAGTTAGTGGGGGTTTGGATGGCTGAATGGTTAGCGTGCGCGCGCTGTATCATAAAGTCTGTCATTGAGTCGACTGGCGTGGTTTCGAATCCCCGGTTGTACGTGACAAGGAGTAGGGTCGCCTGTCCAACCTCGTGGGTTTTCTCTGGGTCCTTCAGTTTCCTCCCACTGCTAAAGACCCCTATGCGCAAGCGAATTATTGAAATAAAATTAAACCATATGTTAGTCCCGAAATGACCTAGTTGTGTCGAGTGGACGTTAAACCCCATTTCTCTCTCTCTCTCTCTCGCTCTCTCTCTCTCTACAATATTGTAGTTAGTGATGACAGCGTCTTACTCATTGAATCACCATGGCTTCCGTTGCTACACGGAATGTTCATTCTTATTTCATATTATCACACTTCCGGTATAAAACAGTTGCTTCCGGCTTCTACTGCTCAAGTCCATATTATCAAATATTGGTGTATAAACAATGGGAGCCACGGTGCCTCAGTGAGTAAGAAATGAAATGAAATGAAATGGGGTTTTACGTCTTACTGTTCTGCTCCTAACCTGGGCTAATGAAGACGGGCATACGCCAAACAGTGTGCTATGAGGGAAATTTGCCCGGACAGCGGCACTACGGCCTACTCTTATATAGAATTCCAACTGTCAAGAGATCTTTTACTTGTACACCAATGTGTACACATGACCTCGGTTTTTCGTAGCATCCGAACAACTAGACAACTGTCCTTGTCAGGCGCTCCGTTCTGCATCACTGACAAGGGGAAACCACGCCGGAAAATCGGGATGAACTTTCTCGGCCAATGTAGGGATCGAACACCCGACCTCCAGGCTAGCGAGCCAGCGTCTTACCCACTTAACCACGTGATCCCCCAGTGAGCAAGACGTTTGGTCGCTAACCTGAAGGTCAGGTGTTCTATCCCCATGTTGACCGAGGTAGTTTATCGGGATTTTCCGTTGCGGCTCTATCCGTTTGGATGGGACGAAAAAAAACAAGGTCCCGTTTTCACATATTCGTGACAGTTGGAAATCGATATATGAGTAGAGCCGCAGCGCCACGGTCCGGGCAACAAAATTTCCATTATTATTACCCTCATAGCACACTGTATGGCGCATGCCCCTGTTCATTAGCCCAGTCGGAGCAGAACTGTGGGACGTTATCGAGACTTATAACTAATGATGACATACTTATAATTGGGAATACCTGTTTCAAATTAAAATATTTACGCAATATACTGTCAGTGATAATACATACCGCGGCGCACCTGTAAATAGCATGATTTAAAGCTGAACGTTGTAATTATGGAAGACCAAACATATCTTTATTCATTGTCCTTATTTCTTCATTTGTTGTCATATTCTGACATTTTTACACTAAAATATGGATTTGTATCTTAAAATCAATTTTTGTTTTACCAATCAGACATTTGTCTTAAAAGATTTGTGAATTGTATTTTGGTTTAATTTAATTTTAGTAATATAAAGATAAAATTTATTTTAGAAAATCAAAACATTAGCCTACATTTACATTTCATCAAAGATATTCAACGAAAAAAAAATCTCGAACAACAAATTTCCAAATACGATTTGTAAAACAAATACTAATTTTAAGATACAAATGTTAATTTTAAGATACAAATGTTAATTTTAGAGTAAAAATGTTGGAATACTACTACAGGAAATGAAGAAATAATTAATATGAAATGACCCATTATGTTGAAATATATGAGAGAGAGAGAGAGAGAGAGAGGTCATTTCCAGACTAACACAAAGTTCATTAGATAATTGGGAAACCTGTTGTTCTTGGCAGTAGGAGGACAGGCGACCCTATTTATTATCACGTACAAGTTTCGGATCGAAACCACACCACGTGAGCACTTGGCCACCTGACACTGCCCAGGCGTTAGATCGCCCAACCGCCCTACCCCCTCCTCTCCTCCCCTGAACTACAAAGGCTACGGTGAACAACAAGGGCCGTCAGTAGTAAACCACTGACATTTTGGAATTCGCGGAAGTCCAGTGACCGTATGTTCACCATTTTGGAAACATGTTATACCATATGCGGACAACTGGCCCAGTATGGCGTTAAACCCCATTTTATTTAATTTGGTTGCGGAAGACTGGAAACAAATGATGGGTAGGCTTGTGTTACTAAGACGAAAATTGTACGGAAGCTTGGGTCAAATAAATAAATACAAAATTCTAATTTATTTTCTAATTAAAAGATACTAATTGGGACAGAATAACTCCTTATTAGGAGAAAGGGTTTTTAAAGGACTTTGTGTTATCGATATTCACCGTTGTTAAGTCCTAATTATGATATAGTAACACCAATTTAGGGGAAACCGTATCTCCTAATTAGAACATAATATCTCTTTCGATTATTCATTCTGGATGGATGTGTACAGTGGGCTTTACATTTATTGGATATTTCAGGTTATATGACCACATCAACGACAACCTTGAATATAACCAGGTCATATGAAACTACAACCCAACCAACGACAACTCCATATGCAAGTACTACCTACCCAACGACAACCTTGAATATATCAAGCTCAATTGTAACTACAACCCAGCCCAGCCCTGTCGCTAGCGGTATTGTTCAAGGATGGATTAAAGATAGCTCTTTAGGTACTTAACACACAACCTCACCTAATTCAGAACGCGAAAGTTGAAAAGTAGAAGTTGGCAAACTGTAAGGTGACAGCCCGCACCCCAAGCAAATAAAGGCTTCCATAATATACCCCCTCCCCTACCCTCAAGGAAAAGCAAATATTACAAAAGGATGCTTAACGTCTAATCTCTGAGCATCCAACGTTTTACTAATGAGGAATGTCATACGCCGTGTTGTGTTCTTTTAAAAAATTGTTTTTATCTATAATTCCTACTGTACATTCATCTTTTACGCATAGTCACTGTGGACGTCCCGTCAGAACGACTGAACAGTGTTCTTTGCTGGGCCTCCTGTCCTATAACCTGGACACCTGAAACCACGTTGAAAAATAAAATCAAATAAGTTTAGCTTGTTTACGGTGTATTCCTGCCTCATATGTAAATTATCTTATTGTTTTTAAAACTGGTGACATGTTTTGTGTTTTAGTTGCAGAAATAAGAGTAGTTGGTATTATTATTGGTGTTATTCTTTCTGTAATACCCAGTCTACTCCTACTTTCTGTCATACTCTGTAGGAAAAGAGGTAGGGTGGAAGGTTAGTGAAATATAAATCCTTTTTTATTCTCTTGCCCGAGAGAGAGAGAGAGGGAGAGAGAGAGAGATTGCGGGGCGTTAACGTCCATTTTGGGATCAACTTATGGTTTAATTTTACTTCAATAATTGGCTTGAACGTGGGGTCTTTACCTTTGGGAGGAAACTGGAGGGTCCGGAGACAACGCGCGGTTCCAAAATAGATAATGCAAAATGAATGGATTGAAAATTTCATTCAAATTAATTTATTCTGAGCTAAGTTATCACTGTTTTGACAAGATGTGACAAAGACTGTTTATTATTGTAACAACTGTACTTGTTAAATGGCGATTGTCTTTAAATCCGTTGAAAATATCAACCATCCGATAGTCTAGAGAGTTGACTTCAGGCTCGTCATGTGAATAAATGTCTAAAATTAATGATTTATATAAAATTTGAAGCCAAAATAAAGATATGCATTAGGCAGATATACTCTTAAAAATGTATCTTTTAGCATGAAGTGTATATGATTCACGTATGGGTGTATATATATCTTTACAGGACAACAAGACTCTCTAGAACTGGAAACCATGGTCACAAACAGGCAGGATTGCTCAAGAGAGGTTTGCACATCGAATGGTAAAACATATTAATGTTTGATGCTTTGTGATTGTGAATTATCACCAACCCTCTCCGTCTGTCTGTCCGTCAATCCATCGTCCACAATTTCTTGCGATCTCTCTACAGACCTGATCATGTTAAAAGTTACTTGTCTACATTTCTGCATCAACCCGGATAATGAAGAAGGGAATATGCCAGGCAGTGTGCAATGAGTCAAATTCTCACCAGGCAGTGGCATTTGCCCTTAGTCTTCGCAAAATTCCTAATGTCAGAGTTTGGTTGACGCGCAGCGTGTAACTGGATCTCGGTTTTTTTTACCCCCCAACGACTTGACGATGACCCCCCCCCCCCCCACTATATCTCCGTCCAATCCGCTTTGGAAAGTCCCGGGGGAACTCACTGATTATCCCACTGATTGTAGGAACGTTTAGAATAAGAAATGAAACAATTAGTTTAGGCAACAGTAATATAACTTCGTAATTACAAAGACCACAAAAGCCATTTTGCAGTCTGATTAAAACACAGATCCTATTTCGTTTCGTTTTTTATAGTTCAAAATTTCGTTTTACTTGTCTTTACTACACTAGGATCTGGAAGAGTTGTTATATAATCCAAGTTCTGGTTGATATGAGGGATTAGCCAATGAAATGGTCTGTTGCCCCTAGTTCTTGACGTATGGTGCACGGAACTGTGAATATCCATTCGAAGTGAAGAAAAAGCAAACGTTGTATTTCCAAATACCCACTTGTGAAACATCAACGCTGATTGGTTAATCAAATCCCTGACGCGACCTCCAATTACGATTGACCAGATCTTCATGTAGTTGAGGCCTTCGAAAGTATTAAATAAGATTGGCTATTTTGTGACATAATTTCGAAAATTGACAAATCGGTCGTTCCTGTTAGCTGGCAACTCTTGTTTTTATTTTAGGATGTACAGCTATTCAAGACACTCAACCACCGAGGAGTTCCCTTGAGCGTTTAACGGTAAGTAAATGATATCAAATCAAATTGGATTTAACGTTCTGCTTTTTTGCATCAACTAGGCTAATAAAGACGGACATATGCCGTACTGTGTACTATAAGGGAATTTTGTCCGAACAGCGGCGCTACGGCATACTCTTATTTCAAGTGTTCGTTAAAAACGATAATTTCATATATTATGGTTTTCTAATCATAATATCATTTTTGTTTTATTTTTTCAGTTGATTACATCTTTATAACCAAAAGAGCAGTAGACCAAAATTATTTGAATTTATTAAAGATCATTTTATTATGTGTGACATTTCATAATCTACTGTGATATCTCCTTAGAAGAAATGGCTTTACATGAATTTGATTGGTCAATCAAAAAGAAACTACTTTTTTTTTATTTTAAAAAAACAGTTCATTTATTATTAAAAGTAACTTTTTTTTAATTAAAAATGAACTATTATTATTCAATTGACCTTGATGGAAACACTGGGTCAATATAAAGGACTCTGCTGTCTTAGAATGAACATTAATTTATTGAAAATATTTTATTTTACCAATTTATAATTTTTCGTTTCGTTTTATTTTGGTGAAAAAATTTGTAGATCAGTTGCCACAACAGTTGAGGCTGGATTCGCCACGATTGAAAAATAATATTTGATGTATGATGTTCAATACATTTTGAATAATCAGAAGTTTCAATGAATGACTTTTGTTTTTGATTATTTCTATTGTTTCAATGTGGACCTAGTAAGTTTTATTTAGTCTTAAATCGCATTTTATGACAGCTTTTTCAATCTGTTAGTGAAGAAAATCCGGCAACGTTGTATGGTTGTTGTACGTGATTTGAACGTACTTATGAATCGGCACTGACATTGTTTACGTTGGTCATTCTGTGAGTTGTTTTTCACCGCTGGTTTATTGTTATCAACTACAGTGACTCAATACAAACAAAAGCAAGTGGTTATTCGTATATTTACCGTACAAGACAAGCCGAAATTTCATATCAGCTATGGAAGTACCCAACACCATTAATGAGGCTAAAATGCTTCGCGGAAACGCTAAAAGGAAACTTACCAATCTTATGAAAGATGGAAATTCGCTCCTTCTCGCCGGCGAAGGTATTCCTCACGAAGAATATAAATTATTAGCCGATCTTATTAGAGAAAATTTAGATGTTCTACAGTGGACAAATGATCAAGTGATTGGACTCAAGTGTGCTGAATTGAAGCCCGACGATTTCAGTAATGAACATGATATGGATAAGGCCGAACAGGAAATTGCAAATGCCGAAGAAAATCATTTTTCAGATGTAAGCAACAGCGCTATTCCGCTTGTTCACAAGTTGATTCGCGAAACTAAACGTTTAATATTAATCGAGGATGAGAAACATACCCAGCAAGAAGTAAGGCCTACATCAACCCCGCAACCTGTACATACTAGGATGCCTAAATTGAAATTTCCAACGTTTTCTGGTGACATACGAGATTACAGAAGATTTAAGGAACAATTTCGACATTATTCGCAGAGTCTCAATGATATAGAATGTTTTTATCAACTGACAGAATCTATGGAACGTTCACGAGAGAGAAATAAGATTAAAGCTTGTAGTGGTATTAAACGAGCTTGGGAGATATTAGATGAAGCGTATGGTGATGAAGATCAAGTTGTAGAAGCTCTTATGACAGATTTAGAGAATATCAACTCTTATGAGGTCAAAGGTAGAACCAATCTTAGTGGAATGGAAAAATTTGTAGAATTTCTTCAGAACTTTGAAACTCAAATGGACTCTTTAGGCAAAAGCGCAGATCTTAGTGGAAGAGTTTTGGTTACCCAAATACGACGCAAATTACCAGAAGATCATCGTATTTTATTCCTTCAGAAGGTTCGTGATGACAACATAGACGATTCTCTGAATAGCCTCATAAAGTGGTTACACTCGCAATTAATTCTTCTTAAGAAAGCTAAAGGTCCATTTATCGAATCACGTGATAGTAGATCACCTAATAATTATCAGAAATTTCAGAGGTCTAATAAATCTGTGAATTTCTCAACGATGTCCCCTGGTTATAACCGTAATACTAGTAGTCAACAGCCAAGTATAAGCCGAGATAAGAGTGGTAACAGGGATAGAGACACCGCGAAAACAGACAACTCTGAACCTCTGAAATGCCCACTTCACCCAGAATTCTCAAATCATTATCTGAAAGGGTGTCATAAATTTAAGACACTTTCACAGCTTGAGAAATTTGAAATCATGAATAAGAATGGTATATGTCATCGATGTGGACATGATAACTGTATATCTGGTAAACCACCTTATAAATATGAACAGTGCCAGTTTATTCAACCATGTCAGATTCCTGCTTGTAAACTTGACACTCACTTCTCGTCAATCTGTCCTCGTGTTTATGGGCTTGAAGGATATCAACATTACGACGGACAGGGGCAAACGACTTCTAATTTAAATGAACAAACTACAGAATTTACACCTACAAAGAAACGAGTTAATTCGATGTTAATTCCCAAAATAAACTCTAACTTTATATCATGTGTATTACCAACCGTCATGGGTAGATTACGTCATGGTTCTAGAAGTTTTATCGTTAGAATTTTACTCGATTCTGGAAGTCAGATTTCGCTCATACGTTTTGGAATCATCAAAAGACGCGATGGAGCACTTATGCAAGACTTTAACATTACTACAGTAGGAGGTGATTCTATAACCTGTCGTTTACGAGTTTTAGAATGTGTTATTGAAAGTTTAGATGGTAAATTTTCACGACAAGTTCGCCTTACAGAGATGGAAAATCCCTGCGGTGACACGCCCATCGTTACGAACGAACAACTTCAACAGTATCCACATTTATCAGGTGTTGAAATTGATGAAGCGACCACCGAGACAATAGACATTCTTCTTGGAGTTGAAAATAGTGATTTGTTGACAGCTCTAGAATACGTCAAAGGTCCTACAGAAGATGATCCAATTGCTGCAAGATGTCCCTTAGGATGGTATATTCAAGGCGGTCGTAACACTAAAACCGAATCTAATGTTTTAATAAACTTTACTCAAGTAACAGCAATTAGTGAAATAGAAGATTTTTTAGGAATTGAACGGATGGGAATTGAACCTAAACATTGTAAATGTTCTATTGAAGCTGAAGAGAAAATCGCGACAGACGAAATGCAACAAAGCGTAACACAATTGTGTGATGGAGTTTATCAAATTAACCTTCCTTGGAAGAAATCACCGAATGATTTACCGAATAACTACGACTACGCTGTTAAACGTCTTCAGAATTTAGAGAAACAATTTAAGAATCGCCCGAAAGAATGGGAAATTTACTGCAAACAAATGGATGATCAAGTTACTCGAGGAGTCGCAAGATTTGTATCAACGATGGAATTTGATGCAGACATATCCAACAACAAGAAGATGTGGTTTCTACCTCATTTTGGAGTAATCAAAGATTCGGAGACTACGCCTGTTAGAGTAGTTTACGACGGAAAGGCTCGATTTCAAGGACATTCTCTCAATGATTATCTTGCCAAAGGTCAAAACATGAACACTGATTTATTTGATATCGCTTTACGTTTTCGAGAGTATGAAATCGGAGTAATCGCAGACATTAGTAAAATGTTTCAAGCTGTTAGAATGAATCCAAATGACTCTAGATTTCATCGTTTTGTTTTTCGTAAGAAACCCGAAGATCCTATAGAAGTTTATGAATTGACAACAGTTACGTTTGGAGATAAGCCTTCTCCAGCAGCAGCTATTATTGCTCTACGGCATGTCGCGGCTGAACATGCTCCTAATGATATTGAAATTCAACGAATTGCCAACAACCAATTTTATGTTGATGATTTGACCGATTCACAAAGATCGTTAAATGATGCCAAACAACTAAAGTCTAAACTTATATCGACCTTAGAGAAAGGAAATTTTAAAATTCGAAAATGGTTATCGAATGAGAGAAAACTTTGTGATCCCGAGTATTATCCTGATGACAGTACGACAACGGTACTTGGAACGAAATGGAATCTTAACAAAGATACTCTGAGTGTGAAGGAAGTTTCATTAAAGGATTTCACTCCTACAAAACGTAATATTTTGAGGATGACAGCTAGTTATTACGATGTTTACGGAATTTTATCTGGTATCTTGGTACGCCCGAAAATTCTATTACAACAGCTCTGGCAGTATGAAATGGGCTGGGATGATCCGATTAGTCCATATAGTGATTTACATAAAACTTTAGAGACAATTAAACATGATTTGCAGAATGTTAGTGCGATAGAAATTCACCGATGTCTTATACCTGAGAGGTTACGTGGAAAGCCCAATTTACCAAGTTCTTCACTACATGGTTTAAGCGACGCGTCAGAGGATGCCATGGGAATAGGAGTTTGGTTAAGATGGCCAGACAACGAAGATAAAGCTGATTTGACATTTGTATGTGCAAAAGCTCGACTTACGCCGTTGAAACAATCAAGTATACCACGGAAAGAACTACAAGCAGTACTTCTTCTTTCGAGATTGATGATCACAATTAGAAACGCTTTACGACTTGAGATAAGTTACATGAAGATCTGGACAGATAGTATTACAGCAATTAGTTGGTTGCGCGGACAGTCTAAATCTTTTCGTTCATATGTGTCGTATCGTGTTGGGGAGATTACGTCTGAATTTAATCCTGTGAAAGACATTGCGTATGTTCCAAGTGATCAGAATACGATTGACTTAGTGTTCCGAGGAGTCAAAGCTAATGAACTAGGTACAGTTATCAACGGGCCTGGATTTTTACGTAAATCTTCGAATGAGTGGCCAATAACTCCTAATGTTTCTATTGATAGAGAAGATACAGAACTTAAGAAATACCACGTCAGAAATGCCAAAATATTAGCTGCTCGACTTGATCAAGACAATACATTATTGGATCCTCGTCGGTTCTCAAGTTGGACTCGTCTGGTAATGGTAACAGCAAGAATCATATCGCTTAAGGATATCCCTAGGAATAAATGGTTAAAGGATTTAACGACGACCATATTTCGTTGGCCTTCTCGCAAAAGAATCAATGAAGCAAAATTATACTGGATTAGATATGCCCAAAAAGATTTGGATTTCGATAACCGTCATATAATGAAACTGGAACCAATCTACGACGATACAGATCAAGTATATAGAGTTGGAGGAAGAATTCACAATGCACCGATTTCGTATGATATTCGTCATCCGTATTTGCTTCCGAAGAAAAGTTATATTAGCTATCTTATATCTTTAGAGAGACATAAGTATTCATTACATGGAGGGCATCTAAGAACAGCAGCTGAAATACGCAAGACTTACTGGATTATTGGAGATATTAATTTATCACGCCAAATAGTTCGCCAATGTGTAATTTGTATTCGTTATCGTGGGAAGACAGTAGAGCAACGAATGGCTGATTTGCCAGACTTTCGTATAAAGCCATGTACCCCGCCTTTTCAGACTACAATGGTGGATTATTTAGGGCCAGTAAATGTTAAACTTAATCGTAATACAGTAACAAAAGGTTATTGTGCAGTTTTCACGTGTGCAGTGACAAGAGCAGTACATTTAGAATGTGTTCAGGATTTATCTACTGCAGCTTTTTTACAAGCGCTAGAACGTTTTATTAGTATCCGTGGAGCACCAGGACTTTTAATCAGTGATAACGCTACATGCTTCAGAGGAGCAGACAATGAAATACGCGAACTACAGTTACGTT